TTAGGCATCAATCAAGGAACCGAGTTGATTCTTCAATTTGTGGGAATTACCGAGCCAACACTCATTCGCACAAAGGAATCCTGCTTTCGGCAAATCAGTGCTGTGTAAATTGGTAATTCCGAGTGTAGGGGAAGCCATGTGAAGATGCACATTACTTGGAGGAGATAGAAATTAAAGCTTAGAATTCTCTACACTGGGATAAAGGGAAGAGGTTTTTCGGTTATATTGAGAAAAGGAAGGAAAATATTTAAGTTCATTCTAAGAAACAGTTTAATATATCCCTTAAATACATAGAAATGTTTTAGGATCTGTTATCTTTTCCCTACACTTATTCCTCTTTAACATGCTTCAAGCTAAGTGAGATGTCCTGCACATCCTGTTAACTTTTTGCCGAGTGCAGCTAAAACAAAGCAAGCAGGATGGCATAGAACAAGTTAAGTTGTTTGTCTGAGGAATCCTGTCTTCTGAAGCATACAACTGTATACTTATATGTTCATATATATATTAATGCCTGTATATGTGTGCGTTTTTGTGTGCATATTGAGTCACTAATCTTAATTACTTGTGCAGCATGCAACAAGAGCACTTAGCGCTGATATCCTGCCAGACTCGTGTTGCCCGAGACATATGCACATACGTGATTATAGTTTCCGATGGCCTTTAGTGCTGCCTTTCAAGATATACGTATACCTTATACTGCGTTCTTCCCCCACTTTTTCATCTTTTTTTTCCCCCCTCTCACTCTCTCTCTCTCTCGCTCATTTCTCTTATTGAAATAAATTCTCAATGAACGCGCCCATTCGATGGGCCTTTCATTTTCATGCGTGCCATTTGCAGCAGCTGGCGTTTTGGTCCTTGCAGCTTGTTGCTGATGGGATGCTGATGTTGTTGTTGCCGCTACTGCTGTTGCTTTTGTTGCTATTTGTGAAACGCTTGCAAATCTGTGGCAGATGCTGCGCCGCACATATATCCGCAGCATATACATTCCCGTATAGTATATCATATTTGGTTTGCGCATTAGCCCGGCCAGCAAGGCTAAGCGACACATGGAGCTCATCCACGTAGATGGATACACTCCGTGCCAAGCAAACACAATGGGGGGCAAGCGAATAGGGCACATTGTATTAAAGTTTCAATGATAAGGAACTAGATTAGATAATCAATAACTGCAGCTGTTTTTTTGAGTTTTTATAGCCCTTACAATAATCCATTTTCGATCCCTTTATTAGGTCTGCTTTCCCAACCAAAATCCTTTACTCTCCACTGCAGATTGAGTCATAATTTTGACCCTGGGTGTAGAATATGTGCTAGGATGCTTGTTTGCCATGTAGATGTTTAGAGGGTTGAGAGTGGGTGAAATGGCAGCCCCATCCTTTATGTTATCCTCCATGTCCTTGTGCTTCAACTCGACAAATATTCAACACGTATTCATTTCCTGCGGACGCTCAGTTGCCAACTGGCAACATTCTGAGCTGCAGGAGTGGGTAGGAATGGGGCACGAAACGGGTGGCGATGACGAAGAAGAAGATGCTGCACAAGTGCAGCCAGGACATGGATACTTGCACTTGATGCCGTTGCCATATAGCTTTAGCTTTAGCTTCAGCCATAGCTGTAGCTGTAGCTGTAGCTGCTGATGAAGTAGCGACAATGCGGCAATGCGTCGCAAACTCACTTTGAGTGCTACTTGGCAGCAAGACAACGACGCCCAGACACTGTCACGAGAATGGCAAAAGGAGTGGGGAGCAGGGAGTAAGGATGCTGGCGATGGAGATGCTGATGCTGATGCAGATGGAGGTAAAAAAGGATACTAAGATTGGTCCTTGGAGGCGGAGGAAATGCCAGCGACGACAGCGTGACACGCAACAGGAGGGCGAAGAACCAAGGACAGCGGTATTTCTCTGGCCAGGATAAAGGAAGCTTTCCTTGAATTGGCGACAGATACGCTAAGGAATCTTTCCGTCTTGGCTGAAAGGCAAGGAAGTGTAAATGCTGCCACCAAGAGATGGATGATTGAATCCATGTGCTGGAATAGCGTTGAATAGTACGACATGCAAATCGAACAAAACGTTTTTGAGGTTGATTTCTCTATAAGTTGTATACCAAGTTGAGTTCTTTTCAAATGTATTAATATACGTAACGATTCGTTTCGAATTTCAGTTGATTTTGAAAAAGGATTTTCTGACAAATTTTCCCATTTTTGATAAGGGGGTTACTATTACTTATTTCTGAAAAAAATGTTCGAAAAATTACGATTCAAGGCTTGAATGCCATTTCATTGGAAATTAAATTACGAGTTTAGAAAGGTATTCCTCTCCATATTTGAACCATTTTTGGCTAAGTTATGGGCATAATACTGTCATTTTTAGAGGGAAATCTAAGAACCAATTTTCGCATTTTCGATAAGGGGTAACATCATCCAAATTTACGAAAAATGGCTAAAAATGTACTTTTTAAACTGTGAATGCAGTTTGGTTGGAATTTCAATTACGAGTCCAACGATATATGACAGTCCATACTCCGTTTGTTTTTGGCTTTATGGTGGGAAGAATTGTGAGAATTTTGGGTAGTTAATCAGACTTATGATTTCTGACAGAAAATGCTCTTTTTTATCGGTGTTATACCTATAACTTAGTCAAAACAAGACGCACAGCTAAGAGAATGACAGTTTTGTGAATCTAACGACCAAAACAAACTTTCCTCATCATTCGTTTGGTGATTTTGGGAATTTTAATTTTTGGCTATTTTTCGAATTTTCTGTAAGGGGTAACATCATAAAAATATGCAAAAATTGGCATCATTTTTACGTTTTAAACTGTGAATGCAGTTTTGTTGGAATTTTAATTACGAGCTTAGCGAGGTATCACATTCAATATTCCGACCATTAGTGGCGAAGTTATGGGAATAATACTGGCATGTTGTGGAGGAAAACTGAGGTAACAAATTTTCACATTTCCGATAATGGGTAATCATCATATTTTTTCCAAAAAATGGCCGAAATTTGACATTTTAAACTGTGAATATAGTTCGCCTAGGAATTAGAAAACAAGCTCAACGATGTATATTTGGTAAATGTTTAGCCTTCTAACCGAAATGCCATTTTAAACCTAGAAGCATGTTTTTTTATTTAACAATCTTTGCTAACTTTTTAACGGTTTTTCAGTTATAAATTAGTAATTAGTGCTGCTAAAGACCGAAGCTAAGAACTTCTTTCTATCAAATTTAAAAACCGTTATATACCTGAGGAATAAAGATATCCCTTTTAAAGGGTCAGCGTCGTAGTTTAATAAAATCTGAAAGAAAAAGTAGTAAAATGATGCGCTTCCTATGTATTGGTTATTTGTATACAACGGTTTTCCTATTGTCTCACGGGGTTTTCTTTCTTCGGTGAAGTAGGGTTTTCTTTTCTTGGAAAACTTCATTGGTGGCTCAGGGCTTCATCTGTTCCTTAAGTTTCCTCTCTATGCCTCCATCTCCTTTCAAAGGGAAGTTCTCCGTGAAGTCTTGATAAATTTCCCTCACGAAACGACCTCATCGCCAGGCAGAGCGAATATGTTGATCCTTTGACGATTGCACAACACTTCCAGCACATGCATTCAGTTCCCAGTTCCCAGTTCGCAGTTCCCATTCCAGGACATGACCCACCTCCAAAGCAACCCATTTCCCTGGCATTATTTCACCCCCCTGGAGGTATCTCGTCAAGTGACCCTCTCGATGGCTGTGGCTGCTACTCGGGTTCCCCAGTTCTCCCAGGATATCTGCCAGGACGTCTGCTACTCCTCCAGGAGGAAGCCGTGAACGCTTAACGCCCGCTCATTCCCTGTGAGAGAGTCACACGTAGCCACGAAATCATTTTTCACCACTTAGTCACGTCGCTTTGACAGCACATCCCTGGGAGGATGGGCTTTGAGTTCGGGTCTGGGTTCGAGATCTAGTGAGATGGGGATGTGTTGGGGTTAGTCTGGTTGCGGGCTAGGGATATATGGTCTCAGTCGCAGCCTCAGCATCCGCTCTTATCTGCGGTTTAGTTGCTTATAATTGGCAGACATGTGAGTAGTAGAAGGGCATGGAATGTGTGGAGGAGAGCTTTCCCAGAGTCCTTTTCCCCGACTCCTCCCACCTCCCTTTGCAAAAAATACCGGATGCGAATGCCTGTCGACTGCTAATAGTTACACTCGCAGGATATCTATATGTCGGTAATTAGCCAACCGTAAGTCGGTACTACTACTACGACTTTCCCACGCGGCGAACATTGCGTGATGTTGCTATTAGTAGTACTCCTACGTAACTTGCTCGGCAATTACATTTGTATTTCTGTCGATCGTTAGTTGGGAGGTGAACTTTCCCGCCACTTTTGGGTGGTGATGGTGGTGGGTAGCTAACAGATGGCATCAATCAAGTGGAAACCACTAAGTATAATGCAGCAATGTTGCCCAAAAGTTGCCGATGCAGTTGGGAAATCTTGTTGCCCCGCAAGCAGTATGTGCCCCTCCCAATGTCCCATATCCTGCACAGGGAAAAACATATTAGGGGACATATTTCAAGTTTAATAATATGTTATACCATACAGCTGTACTGGAGTATAACAGTTTTTGGAATGTAAAATAGGGAGGTGAACCAAAATGGTGATATTTTCTAAGCCATGCAATCGCTATAAATGAACGGCTAACTAGTTGATATAGAATTTTCCTCTTAAAGCTATATCTTCTAAAATCCTTAATACTACTTTTCACAGTGTAACTGGAACCTCCCAACAAGTGCTTGTAGTACGTGTTGTCCTGCTATTTGGTTACCTTGTATGGTTGCACTTCCTTCGCTTTGCTTGTGGCACGAATCAAAGTATTGAATTTCTATATCCGTTTTTTTTTTACATTTTCGTTTCATTTTTGTGTATTGTTCGGGTGAAAGGGGCGTGTTGCTCCGGTGTTGCTGTTGTCGCAGTTGCTGTTGCTGCTGCTGCTGCTGTTGCTGCTGCTTACATAAAGGACAACAGCTCAGCAGGACTAAATGAGTGCACAGGAAGTTTTTACATTGCTCACCTTGAGCGGGGGCTTGGGCTTGGGTTTGGGTTGGAGGGTTCGATGGTTCGGTGGTTGTGGGAATGGAACTGAAACTGTAACTGTAACTGGGTGCGGGGCAATTAGGTCCTGTCTCAATGGGTGAGTATACATGTGTATGTATCTGAGGCAAAACGGAAACTGTCGCAAGTGATCGGCGTGTTGATAAGTTCAAAAACAACATCAGCAGCGGGAGCAGAAACAGCAGTCGGAGCGGCAACAATCACCATCAGCAACTTGAACCCAAAATGTGTTTCGCATTTTGGCATTCCGCAATTGCCAAGGCAAAAGTTTCGAATGCGTTTTGCGGCTCTCACAAAAATCCATTTTTCCCATTTGTATACCCTGACAGAGGTTAATTGCTCGAGTTCATCATTTTAAAGGTCTGCGATTTTTTCGTCTGCTCAGTTTTCCATGGAAAACTTTTTCATATGCCTCGATGTCTGGCTTTCACTTCGTGTCCTTCATTTGTCACACACTCTTTATGCTTCGAAATGCGGAAATGAAAGGGCATCCTCGGAATGACATTGAGACAAAAAGTTGCCAAGGAGTTTCCAATAGCAACTTTCTATTCACTAAAACTTTTGCTTTAATTTACTCAGTCAATAAAGTTTATCGTAATTAAATCTTGATAAATACATTCGAGCAAGCAATTTACATATTTACTAAGATGACGTGATAACGTGTATAAGAGGTTTTCGGTGTGTCATAAAGTTTGGTTGGTAAACCTAAGCCTAATTGTAAGGATTAAAATCTTTAAAAGTATTTAATAAATAACTTATTTGGAATATTATTAACTGAAAATAATTTCGTTAATAGAAATCATTTATTTTTACCTTTTAAAACCAATTTTTAACATATTTAAACCTTGTTTTCCCCCTCTACAGACTCCCCACAGTTTTAGCTGTCATAAAAACAATACAGAAACAAGGGTATTCGTACCTTTGGATATCGAAAGTTTTTACCTTTCTAAAGGTTATTTTTTTCGGAACAAGTTTGGGTTCTGGGTTTCTGTTTAGCTGTAGCTACTCGGAAACAAAGTGCTATAAAAGTCACGCCCGAGGCGAAATGAGTTTTCAGTTCAGCTGCAAAACGGGATGAGTGGGGGTAAGCAAAAGCTGGCGGGAAAGCCGCTTTTCCAGCGTGTTTTTTTCCGTGTTCAGCATCAGGTAAGCTAACCTTTTGTGCCGCCCATTAGAAACATGCACGCAGTCGGCTTACTTAAGCATACAAATTGTGTACGGAGGCAAATGCAAATGCGCCAGACTCCCGGCAATGTGGAAATGGGAAATGTGGAATTGTAGAATTGTAGAAATGTGGAAATGCGGAAACGTGCGGGGATTTGAGCCTGGCTCTCTCATGGCTGGAAAAACTTTGCCATGCGTGCCGCCATTTGACTCGCAAGATTGACACGCTGCCAACAAGGAGAGGAGGAGGCATTTTGTTAAGAACGGTTGAGGGGAAAAACTGTGCAGATGTGTCCAATTTAGTGGAACACTGGACCAACGCCCCCGGCCAGATGCTCTGGAGCTCCTTATGATTATTATATATATATATATATATATCCAGCATACAACCCCCAAAAAAAGGACGAGGCAAAAGGAAACGGAGAAAGAAAACCCAGACCCAAGCCAAAAGCCTTGAGGCGACTCGACAAGTGGCAGAAATTAATGCAGTAATTGTGGTAAGTGCTTGTCCTTGCTGCTGATTCATAATCGCATGTATTCAATTAAGGAGATTAATTATTTTGGGCAGCCTTTCGAAGGCTTTAAATCTGTCTGTCAGGCTCAAGGAAACGAAAACTCTTTTCTTACCAGAAAAGGGGGTGTCGGCATATTCCCCTTTACAATGGCCAGCGGTCAGCGAAAGGTCACGTGGCCACCATAAATATGCCGGCTATCGATTGTACCTGACCACGCCACAGAACTATCCATCTTCCATAAGATGTCAGCGGCAGGAGCTTATGCAAAGTTCTCCTTCTCTCTATATATTTTTTGGGGAGAAAAATCTATGCCGATGCCGTTGCCGATGCTGAGAGTTTCCACCATGACAATAATCATCTGAAGCATTTCTGTGCGGTGGGTGTCAAAAGTAGTAGTAACTCCCCCTTTTTCCCTCTGCCTTGGGGTGGTTTGGATTGGTTTCGTTTCGGTTTGGGTTTGACTTTGGTCTCGGGTTGGGTTGGCCAAATAAATTAGGCAACAAAAAATTGACATTCCAAGGAGGCCAGGACATCGCCACTGATTAGAACAATATGCGTGAGTATGTAAAAGGCAATCTATACACCCATATATATCTGTATATCTGTGTATCTGTAGAGTCGTATTTATATAACGCATTTCTAGCTGGCCAAAAAAAAGATGTGTTCAAAATAAATATGCGTGCGTGTTGCTTCCCCACACCCCAGCCAAGTACAGTAGCCGAAATGAGTATAGATTTGTTTGTTTGTATGTCGTTAGCATTGTTTTTTCCCTCAGTGCGTGCGTGCGTGTGCCTCCATCTGCATTTGTATGTGTGCCGCTGTGTGTTTGTATTTTTGCCTTTCGTTGACACTTTCACAATTTATGGCAAATGCTGTCTTTCACCCGGTCCCCTGCCACAGGAAAGGCGCCAAGCAAACGGCAGTGGCAGCCCAACCAACCCCCTGAAAGTTACTTTCGCCACCCAACAAAAACAAAAAAGAATTCCCAAAAAAAAAAAAACAAGGAGATTCCTTGGTGTTCTAGGGGATACGAATTTGAAGTACCCAAAATTGGGAAGTCCTTTTGAAGAAAATCCTAGAAATGTGATACTTTTTCTGTTGAAAGAAACACTTAATAGAATAAATATTTAGAGTTATTATAAATATATTAGAGATGCAGCCAACATATGGTCAAATATCTGAGATCTTAATGGAAAATTTAGTAGAAGTTATAGCATACTTTTAGATGCCAAGGCAAAAGATATTTCAACACTTCAAATCTAAAATAACTGTGATTGATCTCCTTAGCTTATTGAACTTACAGCTTATTCGATATATTTACCCATTACAGGGTATCTCCCGTGGGCGTTTCGGGGGCGTGGTCGTTTGGGGCCGGGCAGAGAAAGCATTCTGTTTACCAGTTTCCGCAGTCCCCAGTTGTACACAGGATTCATTTGAAATAAATATTTTTGTGTTTTTACTTGAAGCGACAATAACGCAAAACATGAAACATACACTAACAGCGGAGACAAATGTCCCAATCTGTTCGTGTGTATGTGTGTGTGTGAAAGAGTCCTGGGAAGAGTAAAAGGGTGTGTGTGTGTGTGTGTGTGTTTGTGACTGTAGGCAAAACCACGCGCGGCGCTGCGGCGTCAAAGTCGAATTACTCATACGCCACGTTGGCCAATGTCGCTGCCACTTTGGCTTTGCCATTGTTGTTCTTCTTGCCGCTGCCACTGCCACTGCCACTGCCGCTGCCGCTGTCTGACACACAATCCGTGCCTCTAGTATGCGCGTTGACGTTAAAAGCTACAGAGCAATTAATCATTAGCTTTTACAGGATTTATTGCAAATACTTTTATCGGATATATTAAATGAACTCCACTCCACGAGAGGCTCGGTTCTGTTAGCCGCCTTAGGCCGCCCGTGGAATTATGGCAGCATTAATCCAGTGGGGACTATCTGCCGACAACATCTTACTACTACTGCTAAGTTAAGTTCGAGGTTTTCTTTGGTTCTTTTTTGCCTTTAAGATTTGCGTCATCGCGAAGTGTCAGTCATGTGGGTCACGGGGCGAAAAGCAGGAAAATTTTGTGGACTGGGTTGGAAAACTTTTTTAGACATATGCACACACGCGATGGCTTAGCAACAGTTTACATCGCATTGTAGTATGTTGTTTACTTTCGGTGACAAAATGAGTTACAGGTTTCATTCATTGCCCTAATGCAGCTTGATAAATTTGAGCGCATTAATTACGCTCACTTGGCGCTGGGAACATATCGTCCTGCGTCCTTCTGCTACTTCTTTGTCCTTGTGCCTCCTTTCTTATGGAGAGTGCCTCTGTTGTTCAGTTTCATGTGCCATTAACTGGCTCAAGCCGCCGCGATTGATCTTGGCCGTAAGTTGGGTTTATTGCCCGCTCATCGCCAAAGAAGCTGTTCTCGTTAAGGCACTCAAAGAAATGGGAGAGCATTTTGTTAAGTTAACGAATATTATTTGTCTTTATGGTTATAAAAATAGTACCTTAATGTCAGGCAATCTTTGCTAACTAACTACTAGCTAAGATTTCACATGATTCTTAATGATTTTCCCTAACAGCCTTATAATAATGTTATATAATGTATGAGGGAAGTATTTATCTTAAATAAATTGCCTTACCATTTCCTTAAACAAGTTTTATTAAAACATAAAAGTTTTATCACCAAACCTAGGCAAATGTTTTGTGAAATTTTAAGAATCTTTTCTGCTTTTTCCTGCTTTTGAATTTGATTCACGTTAGTTTTATGGCGAATCACTAAATTTAAGTGCGTTTTGAAACCTTTATACTTTTCTTAGAGTGGTAAGACGGAGTTGCTTCTTTCGCATTCTGCACATGCAAATTTATAACAATTTTACGTTCTCACATGCTCAAAGTCGTAAATCGTATTCGGCAAGGTGCGAACTGCTCCTCCGTTCCGGGCCAAAACCAAGTGGCTGTGCATAAAAAATCGTTTATGGCTTTGCAGCGCTCAAATAGAACAAAGCATAAATCCTAATTTACTTATGTGGAGCTGCAGCAGTTGCCACTTGCTGTGTAAGTGTGTGTCTGTGTGTGTGTGTGTGTCACCCAACGGTAAACATATATCAACAACATCTTAAACTCATGACGCCAAATAAATACAAATGTTGTAAAATGCAGGGGATGCCCCGGGATAACACATAGAACCCAGGCCAGACTCGTAAATCGCTTGGAAAACAGGAGGGAGAAAACTCCAACTCCAACTCCAACCCAACTTGGAGGAAAAGCGCCGTGTGAGCTTAGTGGCATCGCGATTGAATGGGACTCTGAATAAATTTCACCTTAGCAAGTGGCTGTAAATTGTTTATATTTTACTCGAGTTTGCTGTATTAAAAGGGAATTTGATGGAATATGGATTAGGAGTGCTGTTTGCTTGCTCGTTTTGACTGGGTTTTTGATTTTTGTAGGGGAAAAGAGTGATAGAGATTCCCATACAGATATCAGAAATAACTTCACAAGTGGTTTTTACGATGTGTTCGGCTTTCAGATTGACTTTAAATATATTCAGAAACAATCTTGGGAATATTAAATGAGTTGTAAGGTTGTAAAATTAAGCAATTTCCTTAGCTTATTGGTTATGTGATTTACTAACCAGGTTTTCCTTACTGAAAATGAATGAAAATCCAAGCTGCCTTAAAGCAGCTTTAAGCAAATTAAATCCTTAATGGTTTTAAACTTACTCAGAGACATTTACAAAGTGCATTTCAGACCGGACAATAAATGCATTTCACAAATATTTCAAAGTGTTCTTGGGCAATAAATCTGACCGAAAGTGAGCTTACCTCTTGATCAAACTAATCAAGTTGAGTAGCCGCCATTGAAGTGGTTTTGTTTACTTGAAGTTCTCGCCCAGAAATTGATATAATTGATGGCGAACCATAACAGGCCACATTAGAAATGCTGGCCAATGTCGGAGATTCTCCTTCTGCTGCTGGTGTCTGTGTGACTGAGTCCCGAGTCCTTGTTTGCGCCTGTATTTGTCGTCCATCTGGCAAAAGGAGCTTGACTTGTGCAATCCGAAATCTAACAGACGAAAAAATACTAAAGCGTCAGCGGCATGTTAAGTAAACTTTATGACCGGAGAATTCCGCAAAAAAGCGGGGGGATGAGCTCGGCGGATAAAGCCGGATCGGGAGGAAGGAAAATTGCGGGCCGCAAATAAAACCAGGACCAGAACAAGGATTCCGAGTCCGAGCCCCGGACCCGGTCCCGGACCCGGACCCGAGTGAGGCATCAAAAAGTAAGAGCAAATGCAAAAGCAACAACTATAAAAACCTGCAGCGATAGTAAAATGCAAATTGGTTGGGGCTGTGGGGCAGCAGGGTGGTTGGATGTCGGATGGGGCAGGGGCAGGACCCACCAGGACACTCCAGGACTTCAGGACTCCCTTGGTCCGTCAACGAAAACTGAGGCAGCAGCAAAACAGGGCGCAAAAAAAAAAGAACTAGTAAGCTCTGGCATTCGCACTCGTAAAATAAAAGTAAAGTGCAACAGCAATTTGTTTGCACAATTGCTGAATGCGGCCATTGCTGTTGCTGCCGTAGATGTTGCTGCTGTTTGTGTTGCTGTTGGCACTCGTCGCATTGTTTGCTTTGTAGCCGGTTGTTGTACATTTTTATGACAGCTCAAATTGGCCCCCATCGCCGCCCGCGAGCAACACTGTCAGCATATGGCAATAAATGGGCAACAGGAGTTGGTCCTCGTCGCTGGTCGACGTTCTCCACAAATGCCCAGACTATAGTCTACAATATATATAGTTATATATGTATATATATCTACACCCCCCGACTTTTTTGCCCACTTCGCGTCTGATTTGCGATGACAGAGCAGCCGGTTGATTTGATGCCTTGTTGCAGAGCCTTTTTGATGACTATCCCCCTTCCCTTACTACCCTCTCTCTCCCCTGTGTTTGCTCCATTTCATTTTCTATTTTGGCACTTTGAAATTAAAATATAAAACCCGCGCCGCTTTGACAACTTTTTAAGCTCCATTAGCGTTGACGGCAAGAAAGCCTATGAAGCGGCAACTAAAGGCGGCCGTGGAAAAAGGGTCAATGTAACCGCGAAGGCAGCCGACGACGCGGCAGGACATCAGGACACCAGGACATCAGGACATCAGGACATCGTGGCCAACTCAATGACTGAGCAATAGCAACAGCAACCCCTTTTGGCCGGGGTAACCTTGCGGTTGTTTCCACTCCCAGTCCCAGTCCCAGGACCTTTCCTTGTCCCTGCAGCCTTGCCAGGACCCAAAACCAAACCCCGATTGCAAAAAACCCATTTAAACACTATAAACATTTTTTTAAGGCTTACAGATTTTATAATCTATTCCTTTAGTAGGTGAATTTCTTGTAATTTCATAAGTTGTAGGCTCCAGAAAAGGAGACTTCTTAACAGTTTTCATGAAACTAAGATGATTCTTGGACTAAAAATAGTAGAATCCTTCTACTTCTTAATTCAAATGATCAACAATCTTTAAGTAACAATACTCTCAGTTCCTAATAGTTAGAAACACCATACAAGGACAATATTTCTCTCAGTGTGCATCCTGTTCCGGTCCGCTCTGGGTTGGTTTGTTGGCTGGCTTGGTTGGTTGGTGTTGCACTTCCGTGGCTCGAACAACAACAGCGGGAACCGAAAAAAAAACATTTAACTGTTTCGCTGTTTGGCATTCATTGCGAATTTAAAGGGCGGCTTAGTGACAGGAATAATAAGGAAGCCCGCAGCGGAAGCGCTGATGTCAACGCAGCAGCAGCAGCAGCAGCAGCAACAGCAACAGCAGCAGTAGCACCACCACCGCCAATGCCACAAAAAAAGATACAAAAACCACAAGGGACTCTATTGGATTCGGGGCGGGCAGGAGATTGGCAATGGAAATGGGAATGGCTACTACAACGCGGGGGGGCAATAATGGGCCACGGGCCATGGAGTCCTTGCGGCCGGGCCGTTGTGTGTCCTTTGGCCCCCTTTTTCGATTCGGTTTCGCATCTCGGCCTGTGCAAACAAACCAAACCAAATGAAACCAAACCAAACGAAACGTAACGAAATAAACCCAAAACCTCAGAACGTTAAAAAGGACAACGGACAAAGCGCAAGGAGCAAGTTTAGGTTGTCAACTATGCTAAATATTTGGTCTAGCTAACGAATAAAAGGACAAAAAATTGAAAACCAAAAAGGGCCAACCGAAGAATGAAAACAATACCAAATTAAACGCTTACAGCTGGAGCAGCTCATAATTTATTTCTAAGCTTTGGAACCCCTTGAAATTTCGAACTTCCAGGTTTTTTCCTTCTTCTTTTTTTTTTTTTTTGGCAGCCAAGTGGCAGACATCAAAACACACCCCCGGCTTTTCGGGTTTTTGGAAAGGCACTGGTACTGGTACTACTGCTTCTTCCCGGTTTTTGTGGCCCCCTGTGGCCCACAAACCACCCCAGAACCCCCTGTCCTTCCCTCTCCCCCTTTCCAAAAGCGGTGCTGTTGCATAATTTTCGGCAATCCACAAGTGTGTGTGGCACGAGTTCCTGCCAGGATATAGCCTTTGCAATAGTATTGGTGACTCGCTGCTTTTGTTTTGGGAGCAACGTGCAAAATGTAGAGAGTCTGCGCATGCTCTACGCGGCTGCTCTCTTGGGGTTGTTGCATGTTTTTGGGTGTCTTATGGGCGGCTAGGGGGTGGTGTTGCTGGCTACTTGTTGGGTCTTTGCTTTATGTTTAGTTTTAGGGGCTAGCTAATAAATCAGGAAGATATATCTAAAGATCTAGGGACTATATCTGAGATATGGGAAGCACTAACTAACCATAAACCCTTTAACCACTGGACTAAGAACCACCCCTTGCCATCGAAACCCAGCCACCACCCCCTAGTGGTGTGCGTTGGTGTTGACCCGAAATCACGCACACTCGCTGTAAATCACACACACACATACTCGCATATATATATATATATGTTTGTGCTATATGCTATAGCCAAGTGAGCGGCAGAGCCAGCGAAAAGCTGCGAATGCCAAGCGCACAGTAGAAGGGAGTGGTACGTCAAAAACTGACGCACAGCGGCAGGCCAAACAAGTCCATAGTTTAATAGCCAGCACTCACCGCACCACAATAATATAAACTGTAAAATATATAAAAAAACACCAGTCCAGGCCAAAACCGAAAACCCAAAAAAGCAAAAATTACGTGACCAAGTGCTACAAAACCACAAACAAACAAACAAAAAACGAAAGAAAATCTATAACTATAAAAAAAAGAAAAGAGCTAATTCTGTGTGTGTGTGTGTGTGTGTGAAAAAACAAATCAGAGCGAGTACGAGAGCTTCCTGCTTTATCATATCATGTAACCGCTATATAAGTCTATTTTGGTTTATCCACCTAAAAGGAAAATTATCAATTTCGATCCTAATTTATGCATGATTTGATTTGGTGTTGCATGTGACAAAGTGTTATATACGAGGTTCGTTCTATGCATGTGTGTGTGTGTGTATAAGTCGCTGCAGCTGCAAAGTATGCAATAAAAATCTCGCATTGTTTATGTGCAGCAGGACCCAGTGAGAGAGAGAGGAAGAGCGAATTCGAACAGAGAGAGAGAGAGAGAGCGAAAGAAAAGGGTGATAGGGGGTGGTACAGTGAGGTAGGCTAAGGCAACCAACAGTTGACTATTTGTTGCATGTACTCGCTATAATGGATTTCCATCAACTAGTTATCAAGCTTCAACGAGTGCGCCGAATTCTCTTCTTCTCCCTGTAGCTGAGGAAAACTCTCTCTCTCTGAGAGCTTCTCCGTCGATTTCAATTCACAAAACATTCGACAAGTGCAGAGTGAACAAGTTGTTGTTGCTGAAACAACGAACGGAAAAAAGAGGAAAATTTATAGGATTTTCCAGCAAACCGCAAAACGTTGAGCCATTACCTAATAAATATTCAACATGTGATAAAACTGATAAAAATACAACCAAGAACATGCAGATATAGTAGGTAATCCCTATCATAATCGAAGAATCTCGGTTTAGTGCATTTCCTAAACAATGGCAACGAGTATATGCGCCATTTTTAAACGTGGGATAGGGATAGATAGTTTCGGTGTGCGTGCGTGTGCGCCACCTTCCAATGGAAGCTTTTCCGCCCAGCTCCCCCCCTTGATTTTCCCAACCCCTCTTGCTCTCTCTCCCACACTCTCTCACTCTCTCACTCTCTCTCTCTGTCTCCTTCTCTGTTCCACGCAGTGCGGAAAATGAACTGCCTGTCCGTGTATAAACCGTGCAATTTAGTGCAAAAAGTATAACAATTTATCAATTAAGTGTAATCAAGTGTTGCAAATTTTCCCCAACCACCTGGAAAACGAGCCACCAACCCACCCACTTACAACCCCCTTTCCCTCCATGCGATGGCCTTTCTCCTTTCTGTTGCGTTGACGCTGATTGCACGGCGGTTTCTGCATTTATAATGTAAATATTATGACTGCCAACCACTGCAGGAACTTGTTTACAATTTTCGCACTTTAATCGCCGTTTAAATTATGCAATTTCGTCGGTTGTACATTTTTTGTTCTTCCCCCCGTTTTTTTTTTTGGAGTGCAAGGCGTTTGGAAAGTGGCGGAGTGTGCAGTTAATGGTTGCCATAGAGTATTTACCTGCGATTTATGGGCGAGGGTGTATAATGGGCTATCAGAAATTGCTTAGGGAGTTTCAACAAAGGCTTCTCGCTTTTTATGAGTTCAGGAACCCGAAAGTTAGAGTTCAGTTAGAAAATGGGAATTGAGATAGCAAGCGTTTTGGTTTATAACTTGTATTGCCGTTTCTACTGATTTTCATTTAACAACTTAATAATAAATATTCTTCTTTCAGACTTTAAGCTTTCATTTAGTGTTAAATGCAGTTCATTATTTTATTATCTAAAAAGATAATATATATATCCAATATTGGAAGAAACACTCATAACTCATAACAAAGCACCCTCCAGCAAACACCTATTTTAATAAGCTGCATATTACAAAGACTCACCTTTGTCTTTGTCCTTTGTGAAGGGAACAGCTATTACTTGCATGTAAATGTGACAGGGTCTTTGGGCACTGTCTTACCGGTAAATAAGTGCAATTTAATTTACCTGCGTTTCCATTACTTGCAGAAAACAGAAAACACAAGCAGCAGAAGAAGGAGCAACAGCAACAGCAACAGCAACGGTAACGGCAGCAACATTGCAACAAACAACAGCAACTAGCAACGGGACAACGAAAGCCAAATACCTTGAATTGCGGAGATAGCCGGGTTCTTAAGTGAAATAAGCTGCCAAGCGGATGTGGTAGGATCGCAGGTGGGGCAGGGGAGGATGCCAGCCAGCCGGCGAGCCAAAGGGCACAATATTGCAACATCCGCAACTTCGGGGACAAGGAATCAAAGCTGAAGGAGCAACCGCAGCAATACACTCTCAAGGCAACTCATGTCAATGTCAAAGTTGAAGTAGAAGAGGGCCAAAATAAGTACGGGGGCGGGTCGAAAGCTACGGCTATAGCTATAAAAGCAAAAGCATTTTAACTGCAGATGACAAAGAAGGTTGTGCTACATCTACATAGTAAATACAAAACAAAACTAAGCATAAGAAAACCCCAAAACCACACCCAAAACGAGCCCCAACCAAACCCAAACCGAACCCCAAAAACCTAGACCAAAATAAACAGAGCGGCAAACAAGTGGAGGGGAATCCCCGGAATTTCAATTGCCGAAGCTCCAAACTGGCAAGGGAAGGCAGCAGACGGATACGGATACGGTGACCCGTTTAGCAGGCAAAATGTCCGTGGACTTTATACTGCCCAATCGCAACAAGATCCAGACGATTGCCTATGCCAGTGCCAGCAAGAAATATGTGGCCGGAGGATCCGGATCCAATCTGGGCTCCGGGTCGGTATCTGGTTCAGGATCGGGAGGTGACTTGCAGAGCTGGCGACGTCCTAAGCCAAGAACCTCCGGAAAACTGAAGCTTGAGGATAAGTCTTTAGTGAATGCCAGTTCGGTGCTAAGAAATGCCAATGGAAATGGCCTGGGAAATGGCAGTAAGTCATCACTCAAATCGATGGCCAAAAGGAGCTCGCGATCGGTTCTCAAGCGGGAGATCATCGATCTGGACGACGACGAGGGTGAAGAGCAAGAGGATCAGCTATGCGAACATCTGGAATGGTCTGCTGCCCAATCTTTGGTCCAGATGAACTCCTCCAAACAGGAGAAGCAACGGCGAGTGGGAACTTCAAGTTCACCTGCAACTGTGGCAGCGCCAATCTCCGCCTCAGGTAAGTCCCACTCTTTCTATATAACTTCACTTAAGTCTTAAATTTTGGGTTTTCCAATTATAAATGCACATTTTTGAAGTCTCCCTTCATTTCAAGTGAACATTCTTGGGTTGAAAAGTCTCTATTCTTCTGTGGGTAGCAATTGTTACATTTGTAGAGACCTGCCAACCGCTCATGCCCCCCGGAAACACCCGAAATCAGCGGGAATCAACCAGCTGCACCCCCCTGAAAGTTGCGTCACAACAATGTGAACAGGTGGCTGCGACAATTTGTGTGCTCGTATTTATTTTTAGTAGCCAGGCTCTGTGAATCCCACTCCATCATCGAAAGCCAGCGGCACTTCCAACCATTTTATGGCCACCCACTTGGCCAGCGTCCTTCAACCGCACTGGTGACCCCTCCCCATGGTGACTAGTGACCCCACAAAGCCCCGTGCCTTTCCTGCTTTCTCCCCACTTTGAGCACTCCACTCAGAGCGCTCGTGTTTGACATTGTCGCCGTTAGCTAATCTTTTTAGCGTATGTTGGCATTTTCCATGTTTGCGCTTGCCTTCTTGTCGATGTCGTTGCTTGTTGCTCTTGAATGAAGGAAAAAAGCATGGGAAAGCGAAGGGAAATCTGGGGGAAAGGCAGAAGAGGAAAAGCTAAAGAAGAAGCAAATGCAAACAAGCGGCATTGACTGCCACTGGCAGTGGGTGGTGGTTGGGCGGTAATGGCTGGTCGGGGAGGTAGTCATATCGATTGAGAAACTCGGAAAGTAACAGGTCAGCCGCAGTGGAGAAGGGATATATTGCGTCAGCTTCAGCTTCGGTCTCATAAAATGCCAAAATGTGCATTTATGGTTACTGCTGCCTTTATGATTTCTTTTACTTGCCCCTCAGTGGAAGTAATATGACTTGCATTTGCCACACGCACCCTAAGTACATATATTAAGGAAGACCTTAAAAGGGGGCACAAAAACACAACTCTCAGTTTTAATAAAGACAGGAGCCAAGGGTTTCGGGTTACATGTTTTGTGGTCTACAGGTGGGAGCTTTAAAAAAAGAGAAATAAAACACAAGGAATGTTTGATAAGCCAAGAAAAAATGTTTAAGAAACCTAATTTAGTCAGTTAGTTGAGAAGTAGAGGACTGCTTTATTCTATTTAATATATTTGGGTAGAGTTCAGAGCTTTATTTTCTACCTTTTTCAATCTCGTTCAGAGATAATAATAAGATTTAACCTAAAAGCAATCACAATCCAATAAACCACTCGGTTGCAAAATTAATGTGGCCAATTCCATCGTTCCGAAATTGGAAAGCTCTCAGTTGATTAGGCAACCCTGGCCCTCAAGCTGACCTCTGGCCAAACAGTCGGACCAGACCAAAAAAATCAACAAGTGCCACGACAATTAGTTTAAGAAGAAGCTTACTTTTTTACATCTGTTTTTATATAAAATGAACCGTAAGGAGACTTTCTACCAAAACGAGGATGATTCCATGCCTTTGGATTGTTAGTTCTGATGAGTTACCAGGTTTGAGTTTGGGTACTAAAACTAAGTATTGGTTTCCTTGTAAACAGTATCGCTGCGCCGTCCAGTTGGCAGAGCTCCGGCGGAGGATGGCAAGGTGATTTTCTACGCTCCGCCTGCCAGCGCCAGTGGATCCCAGCGCCAACCGGAGCCGGTGACATTGAAGAGAGAGCGGGATAGGGAGCGCGAAAGGGAGAGGGAACGAGAGCGAGAACGGGACCGTATGAGGGAGCAACAAGTGGTGGCGGCTGCCTCGATTTATCGGGGTCGCAGTGTCGAGGAAACGGAAGCGGCTCACGATCTGCTCTCCCTGTCGCAGAGTCTGCCGCCGCTGATCCCGCCCTGCGTGGTCACCATCATGAAGCAGGAACAGGAGCAGCTACGCTCACCGGAGATCCAGGAGATATCGAACAGCGCTTCCAGCCGATCACCCCAGTCGACTATCCGATTTATAGGCAGCAGTTCTTACGATCTGATGGGTGGCTCCTCGGAGGGGGCCAACAACTGCTCCCCGTTGACGCCGCCAAACTCGGACCACAGCTCCGATGTGGATATTGACATGTCTTCCTCCTCCGAATCGGGACTGCAGCAATGGGGCAAGCCCAATCCGCAGAATCAGCAGCGAGCCTCGGCGCTGAAGATGTGCCTAAATATGCTGGATGGCAGGACCAAGGCGAGCAAGGCGGCTGCTGTGAGTAAGCAGGACAAACAGGAGCCAGTGCAGCCAAGGCCCAAGAGTGCCCAGAGTAATGCCTCGTCCGGTGGAGGTCCGCCATCAGAGCCTCCGGAAAGTTCAGCCACCACGGGGCATAGCTCCTCTGGAAATGGGGAAAACTATGCCAAGCGGAAGAGGGGCTGCTACAAATGCTGCGAATGTGGCAAGCAGTATGCCACCTCCAGTAATCTATCTCGCCACAAGCAAACACATCGCTCCCTGGACTCGCAGTCGGCCAAGAAGTGCAATACATGTGGCAAGGCCTACGTTTCCATGCCCGCTTTGGCGATGCACTTGCTCACGCACAAGCTTTCGCACAGCTGCGACATCTGCGGCAAGCTCTTCTCCAGACCCTGGCTCCTCCAAGGCCATCTACGATCCCATACCGGCGAGAAGCCCTACGCCTGTGTCCATTGCGGCAAAGCCTTTGCGGATCGCTCCAATCTTCGAGCCCACATGCAGACCCATTCGGGGGACAAGAACTTCAAGTGCCATCGGTGCAACAAGACGTTTGCCCTCAAATCGTACCTCAACAAGCATCTGGAATCGGCATGTCTACGGGATACCGGAGCCATCGATCAGGGCAAGGGCTTGGAGGAGGATGACGACGACTGCAGTAAGCAGGACGAACTGGAACTGGGCGACGAGCTGGACAGCGATGAGAACAGCCAGGACATTGTGGTGGCCTAGGGACAACCGACAGCCTAGGGAACTCTCCTGCCCGCAACTAAGATACTTTATACCAGAACCCTATAAGCAATACTCGAGCACCCTTATCAAATTAATACTAAAAAGATAACAAAACAAATTGAGAATTAAAAACAAAGAAAATCTAGTCTAGAAATCGGCTTACTAGCGGAGTAGTTCATTAAATGGCAGATGATGATGATGATGATGATGATGGATCTCAACTCAATAGAATCTTCTTCAAGCAGTTATATACACACACTTATATCTACTCACTTATAATCTGAACTATCCCAGAAATCTCTCCAAGTTGAAACTTTTACTGAACGACGACGATGATGATGATGATGATGATTGGAAGGGAGGTAGTCAAAAGAACAAAGAAAAACAAAAGGTTTGAGAAGGAAATCCAAAACGTAACTTATAGTAAAAATCTGACACAACGAATATTATGGAACATAAGTAGAAATTCTATATATACACAGATCAAATAAGCATTATATACAGATCGAAGGATGATGGAAAGTCGAAGGGAATGGCAAATTATATGTATACATATGAACTAAATGAATAATACCTAGCGAGCAGAACCAATTTGCATGTTTTTTGGTAAATATCTACTTTTAGGCATCGTTTTAGGGCTCTAGAGTTTATATACACCCCCTTACACACCCAACACATAATGCATAGAACACAGTACCCACAGTACTCACTAAACCAATCACCTAGATGTAGTCCGAGTACTTAAGGATTCGATCGGAGCTCAGTTCAAGTCTTAGCAAACTAATCAATTAGTGAACTTATAGCACTTCCCGCAACTCCCTATAACTCTCTCGCTCTTAGACTCTTTTTAAACCGTACTCAAGATCAAGTTTAGCAATCGGATATATATCTATATATATATACATATATATGTAGAATCGAACGAGACGAGCCATTTTAACCGCTGCGGCAACTTTACACTCTAACCAAGTTTAAGATGAGATTACTTCCATATTATGCTCTAACTCGATAAACAGAAAACTACTTCAATTACTTAGAAATGATTAAAATTAATGAGAAAACAATTTAGAAACATATCACAAGGACAATACTTAACATAAATAAATACATTCAAAGTATGAAAAGTACATATATATATATATATAATGGAGAAGGAGGCAACCCCCTCCCCAAACCCCCCAATTAAGACATTCTCATACACATGCAACAAAGTACTTACGAAATAGTTATTTTATTACTAGCATTAGAACCCCGACTCGTGTACATATATATTGGCAAGTTTAAAAGTGAATAAACAATTTTATACAAGAAACTACCCCCGTACCCGCGACCCCTCGAGCTTTGGCCCAGCCAAAGGTTTCCAAAAAGGTTCCCCAATCGCAAAAGAAGGGGATATACTTGCATGTAAATATCCCCTTGAAGATCCGGGCAGACCGGAAGCAAGAAGATGAAGGCAGATGAAAGGTTGATGAAACGATGATGATAGACGTAGAAGACGCACTTGTAAAACAAATGATAACTAAAAGCAATTCCAAAGTTAAGTGACATAGTTTTTAACGAACAAACAAAAACAAAAACAAAAAATACAAAAATTTGTAATTCTATAAAACAAAAATCGAGAAGTATTGATATATACACAAAACATGTATTTATTTTACGCGTAGTTTTTATTCCAAAAAGAAAAAAACAAAAAACCAAAAACCGAAAAAGCAAATGCAAGAAAGTAAAAACCAAAAACCAAAAGAGTAAACTTGAAAACAATTTAATTAAATTGTCAATTACAATTATTTCATAATTTAAGAATTGATGAATGATGGTGAGTCAGACGCGATAGAGGTTATTTTTTAAAGCATATATATACACATAAATATATTACAAATAAATAAATATATTTAAAAGAGGCAGTTTTATATCGAAATTAATAATAGTAAATGCAAAGTAACAACAAAATATTGAAAACCATTCGAACTTAATTATACAACGAGCAAGAAACCATTAATTATAAAATCCCCCTCCCCCAACAACACACTAACACACACACACACACCCACACACATACGCCCAAAATTTTATAGCAACAGCAGATTATTACATCGTATCTACATACGTGCGCGCCATGTAGATAAGCAAGCAACGCCGCATGTCGCAAGTCTAGCAGGAACAGCAACAGCAGCAGCCGTAGCCGCAGAATGTCGGGGGCAGAATTAGAATTTAGACCAGAGAGTGCTATGTGCATTGTTTATAGGGCCATAGTTCGAAATCGTGTTTATGCATGGCTTTATTGATGATTATTGATAGCGTTTTAAATAGCATTAAATGCCTATATACACATAAGCAAACCAAACAACAACAAAAACAACAAAACCAAAAAAAAAACGTATATAAGAAATTCCATTGAACAGTAGTGGTAACAATTATGTGATTTGCAATTTTACATTCAAAATATATATGAACTAATTACGAATATAAATAGATTATATATTGAGGCGAGCGTTTAATTGATTTATTTATGAGTAAGATTTATTTATACACATTATACACCACAAAAAAATGAAAAACAAAAAGAAAACGATAAACAAACAAAATGACAAAAAGCTAAAAATAAGAAGAACTCGAATGGATTGAGGAGAGGCGATGCTAAAAGTATTTTTACACAGAAACCTTGTTTTATACACGCGGCAAGTTGAAACCCAAAATCGAAATACCCTGGCCACACCTGCAAAATTAACTAAAGAGAACCTTGAAAAAGGGGTTATCCCGATTTCGCTTAGCTTTATTTCATTTTTAAAATATTTCAAAAATGTTTAACATTTCATATCCTAGAGAAACTTAAGGTAATGTTTCTTTAATTTATTTTAAATTTTAAAACTTTTAATTGAGAACTCGAAATCGGGAACACCCTAGACCGCCACACACACACCCTCTCGATAAGAACAAAACTTATTTCCAGATCAAAGACACCAATTCAATTTTGATTATTATACAAAATAATGAAAGGGAAGGGCAAGCGATAACGGTGAGATATTTTATAAACGATGAACGATGAATAACGTAAAGATATTAATTTATATATTCATATATTAGAGATGCAAAAAGACTTGAACAGTTATATACATTTAAAATTGCAATATATTGTATACTTCATTAAAACAAATATATATACATACATACCGGCATATATGCAACCACGTATATAAGTATACATATTTAACTTATTTATATAAATGCTTACAGCGAACCATAAACATATACATACATCATACGAACCGAATCTCAATTTTTTCCAAAGCAAGACGAATAGGAATCCCTCAAGTAACTCAAGATCAAGATCAATTCAAGTACATTATATACTCAATGACCATCCGGCTGGGCATGAATCGCCTTGGCCGTACAGGAATATATATAGCTAAAGATATATAAGTAATACGTATATGCAATACAATGCCACGCCCACTCTTGATTGATACGATGGAAGCGATTTTAAGGCGCTACCCGTAGGTGTAGGAGTTTTCACAGACTTTTTCCTTTTGATACTTAGCATTCGTTCTTGTTCTACTTTTAGTTAGAGAATGTTCAACTAGTTTCAGCTTTCGTAGGAGTTAAATAATCAACTTTAAAGACACAAACACAACACCTAGGAGAACCACAGCTATACTAAATAATAACCCCCAGTAACATCCCCAAACACACACACTCTCACACTCTATTAGACATTCTAGCCGACATCTACAGACATATACCCACACATGCATAACCATGCGATTTTATGGCAAAATATGTAGAGCATATAACCTATTATACCCCAAAGAAAGCTAATCCATTCTTAAATTAATATACACGCGAGTAACCGGAGAAAGCGAATAGAATCGAAAGCAGAAGAATCACAGTATGAAGAATCCATATTATGGAGATTTGCGAGTGTGACAACAAACAAAGAACTTAAATTCCCCTCAAAGAAACAAACAAAGCTAAACTAAACAAAACATCCATAACAAGATCCAAGAAATGTATGACACGATGAGTCGAAGGAATATAAATTAGAATCATAGTTATTAAAGCTACACCCACACACTAGTGCAGCCATGTAACTATTTTTAGAGCCTCGGAAATAAACATACATAAAATACATAAAAATATTAAATAAACGACAGAGAAAACCAAAAATTTTGAAGAATTTTATTTGTTGATGGCTGTGATGTAAGTATTGATAAGAATTTCCCATGACTAAGGTTTCTCATCGGATAACAAAAAATACAATTTCAAATTCTTTAACATTTAAATAGTTTGATAAAAAACCAAGTATTGATAAGAATTTCCCATGACTAAGGTTTCTCATCGGATAACAAAAAATACAATTTCAAATTCTTTAACATTTAAATAGTTTGATAAAAAACCAACTCAATGGACCATAGAAAACACCCAATTTAAGTCCTCTTGAACCCGGCTATCCCCAAGCATTTTACACTGAAATTTAAGGGGGTGACTTGCCTTGATTTAAGGGCAAACTACTCCGCAACTAATAAACTATGCATCGCTGATTTAATTCTATTGAGGGAGCTTAGCCAACAAGCCGCATTCTGCAGTTCTATAGGATATACTATATAGTACCATATCGGAATCTGGAGGGCCAAGGCACACAAGACAAGTGCCTCGTCATGTGGAGTGTGTTTAAATGAAATTGCTTGATTCGGCATAAACATATTTACTCTGTTGAATATTTGCCCAACAATTTGATTCGCAATCTGGGTGGAAGGGCATGGGCCTGGGCATCGGCATGGGCCTGATGTGAAATGCCGAAATCAAAATGGAATTGTATCAAGGACGCGGAACAATCGAGGCGGGCAAACAGACACACACAAGAGTTCCTCCTGTCAATCCTCCCCAAGACCTCCACTTGCATTCAATGGCGTAATCGCAGGCAGATACGAGTACTTGTATTCCGATTTCCGCCGGTGCAGTACAACCAAAAACCCATCCATCCATCCATCCATCCATCCATCCAGCAAGGCAGCCATACACCCATCCACCCGCGGCATTTCATCCACAGATGTCAGCAATTTCTCGATTTGAATACTCAACAAAAACGAAAGTGGGCAAACAATTCAAAGGAGAGTGCGGAGCAAAAAATAACTGGCAGAAGGGCGCAAAAAAGACGAACCTCTCCGCGCAAATGGCTTCTCTAACGACCCAATTAATTTGAAACAAGTTGAAAAAAAAAATAAGAGAATAACGTTTGAATTTGAAGAACAGAGACAGAGTGTGGTGGCGGAGTGGCAAGAGTGGAACGCCACAGGCCACTAAATGCTAGGTTAGAACCCATGCCCACACCCTTACTGTTTTTTTTTTTTTTTTGTAACCCCTCCCACAACTCCGGCAATTGCCGCAGAACCCCAAAGCTTTTTATGCCACACCGCAGCTCGAAAAGTTCGCCGACAGCTTCATTACCAGCCATCATCGGAGCCATCATCATTCCGCCGCTGTTACCGCTGCACTGCGACAAAAAAAAACCAACAAAGTTTGAACTTGAAAAACAAACAAAATGGGAAAAGTTTGGAAAAGGAAAGGGAACTAAACTATGCCTTTGCTTTTTGAGTTTTAAAAGTTGGTTAATAAAGTATCTATGATCTGAAATCTAGATAAATTAAAATAAATAATACTAATTTTTTTTGAGAATCTTCCATGTAAAAGCCTTAAAAACAATGGATGACTTCATTTCTCTCCGTGCTGAGATGCTGCTACCCAAGAGTAGTTGGCCAGGCAAAATGTTAGCTGGAGTCGAGTCAGATTTAAGCTTGGCCGCTGACCGATCTAGCCTGAGTCTCGAGTCTGGAGTCGCGCCGATCGCAGTCGGATTTTAGATCGCGGAAAATTCACATTATCATAGTCATGGCCAAGACATCTGCCAGCCTGGGAAAGAGCATCTTGCTCGGTTTTCTAGTATTCCTTGTTCTCGGAACTCTCACTGCGGGTAAGTTAGAACGTTGGCCAAGCAAATGATTTATTTTTTTATGAGCATTAAATACTTAATATTTATGGCACATCTGCTTGAAAATATTCGCGGCTATTGTTTTGGGATGAGAGCAGAAACAGGTTTTTTGGAGCGCCAGAACCGCGAGTCAGAGGCGTAGTTTGAGGGGATCTTGGGGCATTGGCTCTCTCTCGGCTCGTTAGTCATAATTACGCTTTGTCGTGATTCAAGGCTTCCGGGTGTATGTCATAGCCAAGGCGGCGGAGATTAACCAGCTGATAGGGCAAACAGCAACGGCTACATAATTTAATGGCATGTAATTAAACTTCACCCCCCAGCGGCACCCTACCAGGAGTTGGAGCCCCGCAAAGGTCATGTGCCCGTCTATATACGGCATGGCGATGAGCCGCTGAGTGAAATTCATCCAGGACTGGCCGAGGCCTTCAGGGAGGGTCAATCAAAGGTGAGTCTAGGGAAATTCCACTATTTTGAAAGGCTTTCTTATGAACTTCTTTCTGCATTACTTAGAATTTCTTTGTAAATTATTTAAATTTTATGTATTTTTATGAATAATTTTATCATCACCTAAAACTCCATCTTCTCCCGCAGAGCCTCGTCACCGAAGTTCCCCAGGCAGAAACCACAAATCCACCGACCACATCTGATGCTCCTGCTCCATCCAGCTCCACCATTTCCGACATAGCCAGCTTTGATGCCATTAAAGCGTTGATGGAATAGTCTTAATAAGTTAATTCAAGAACACCGCTACCAGTCCAGACCATCAACTAAAAGTCTCTAAGGTCTGGTTGTATTTACAACAGGGAAATGCTAATTTTTAGATAAAAAATAAATATTGTAATGAAAATAATCGAGTTAATTTTTAATCCAACATACAGCGGGAAATGTAGTCAATGTGTTTTCAACATTTTTTGGGTATGAGTCAATTCTATAATCTTACCATAAGCTATTTTTATGTATTTGATAAAATCCAAATTTTTTCTTGAATTTTGGAATTATTTAATTCAGTCCTTATCAGCTAAATCTCGCCAAAACTTTTCTCATTGAAATTGTTATTGAAATCCTACATAAATATGCGGAGTACAAGAAAAATGTCATATCGATTCAGTTAGCCGTTAGCGATGGTGCGGTTTCTTTGGCTGTTGTTCGTTTGTTCGATTGCGGTGGCTTCGCCATCTCCGTGGGGGGCGGTTTTCCAAGAGCTCAACAGAAATGTGCAGGACCTTCTGGATCAGCAGATGAACCGTAAAATGACCCTTATCATGAAAAAATTAGAGTACGAGTCGTATATCCCGGGCATCAATCAGTCAAGCGTGGAGGCCCAGACCTTGAGCAACTACCTTGCATGCCGCTACGGTAACCTACGGATGGAAGAAACCGATGCGCAGCATAAGGAATTGATGGAAGAAATAGAGAAACTTGGATGGCTTCAAGTATGTTTACGTTTAACTAAAAAGGACATAATAGAGTTGAAGGTTGCCGAGATTCCAAAGTATCCCGAGGAATTTATACTTGAAGTAGAAAAACCCGGAATCTTTGTCGAAGTCCTAAATGAAACGGATGATATTGAGCTTAGAGAGCTAGAATCGGCCATAAAGAAAATAACCGATAATGACATCGATGAAGAATTCAGAGTTATAAGTCTTTTGGACCTGTATTTAGCAACCGAATTGGATTTGCGGGAATTCTATAATACAAAATACTTCGAAAATTTTGATGTGCAAGTACGGGGCTTGGATTATTTATTGAACCTCAGCCAAATAATGGTTAATAATAGCAGAACCGTGGTATCTGAATATTTGTACAAACGACTTGCTTACCAAACAAAACAAAGGTTTGTCTTGCCAAAAGATTGTATCAAGGCTGTTCGCCAAAACTTTCACTTAGCCTCGAATCTACTGTACGAGGAGTATTCAGAAGACCCCGCCATCCAGGACGTAAAGAAACTGTTCAACGATATACGTGGGATATTCCTTAAAGTTATCGAAAATATCCCCATCGTTCTATCTACTGAGCAGAAGATTTTTCTTTCGGGTAAAGTCAAAGAATTTGCTCTTAACGTAGGTAATTGGCCAATAGGCGAGGATCATCACAACTTTGTCAGCAAGCACTACAAGGAACTGAATACATCCTGGACAGATCAAGAAACAGTCGTATATGGTCTGTACTTATCAATTTTAAAAGTTGATTTAACTTGGAACGAATACTGGTTCGACACCCCACTAAAGATGATTTCCTCAAATTCGAATGTCATCAGTGTACCCTATGAACTACTACAGAAGCCGTTCTACATGGCGGGAAATGATATCGTATCTAAACAGGGCCTGATGGCATTCGGTCTAGCAGCCCATATGTTAGAAAGCGTAATTTTGAACAACCCAAACACCATCGACAACATTAAAAGTGACATAGAAAAGAAGTTCAATATTGTTAAACAAATTTTTTTTAAGTCTTATCCCGAATTTATTAAGAATCTGCTTCACTTTATTAAGAGAACAGGATTAATAGCACTGGATTCACTAGAAGAGATGCCGTACCTTATGGAAGGAAATAATTCCATATCTAATTACAGAAAGGCATTCGTTTTCGTTATGGAAAAAATGGACAGCTTGATTTCCAACGATACAAATGGAATAGACAACATTCAAAGTTACCTTCAAAATCTTCTTTTAAATTCAACAGAAAGCTCGTTTTCCAACGACATAAAGGGAACCGACAACATTAAACAGTTTGAGTCTCGCCGAAATGGAGCAATTCGTACACATTTTCAATTTACATATGCCATTTTATTCGTACTACTAAGTTTTTCTTTAATATTTTAATTCTTAACGTAACAACAAGTCGAAAATATTAATTAACTATTTGAGCCAGTTAGGTATAGAAATCAATGTCTTAATCTTAATCAATGTCAATCTTATTTTCAGATTATAAATTTCAGTTTGCATTCAGTATCAGTTGTTTTTAGTTTGCTTAAAAAACTTCTTTGTAATAAATCGAACATTCAAACTTAACTTGTTTTACCTCCTTTTTTTCACGAACTTACTTTTCTATATTTTATTTAGGAAATGTAAAAAATCCAAAAGCCAACTTCGCTTTTACGTTAAATCTGTAGCCTATTCAAAAGGGTCCTGAACTTGAAAGTGTTTTGTAACTTAATTATTTGTATAATTTAGAAAATTACCAGCCAAGTTAAGTCGCTTTAAACGATCCCACTCCCCAGTTCGTCACCATCAAGAGCAAGGACTCGCCTGTCCTGTCTGGCGCGTTTAAATGAATTTCGGAATTTCTGTGGACCCAAGCTCGTTAAGAGCTGTGCAAGTTTCACACATTCAATGGAAATTATTCGGTCCTTCTGGGTTTCGGTTGGCCCAGCCTCTCACTCCTCCTTCTCCTCCTCCACGAGGCGATGCGATGCTCGTCGCTGAAATCGCCTTAGAGCTTTGTGTGTGATTTACTTGTTGTGCCCATTAGGGAGCGGCGGACACGAGCGGGAGCGGGACGAAACGGGATGGGACAGACAGGACCTGGTCCTGGCCAGGAAGCTGTGGCGCAAACGTTTGTAATTAATATAATGGCAACGGCTGTGCCGAGTAAAACTCCAAAATGGCCTACACACGTTGCGGTTCGCCTTGCGAGGAAATGGCGGGAGGGGGATAGGGTTTTTTTTTTCGGCCGAAGCCTGGGTGATTGGGGGCGATCACAAATTGTTGTTTCATTGTCTCTCAGCCCGGCTGTCTAACGAGCAATAAAACTAAATACATACACATAAAGTTAATTATAAAAGGGCAAAGGAAATTGGAAGGTCCCAGACTATTGAGCTGTAGCTGTAGGATGCAAGTGATGGATTAACCAAGATGGAGTGTCCTTTCCCTTGGAGTGGGGGCTTTATCTGCAGACGAAATCGGGCTGCAATCAAGAGGGCATTAAAACGAAAGGCAAAAATACTTGGAGTAGAAGGCAAAAAAAAAAAAAATATAGAAAGTTGCGTTAAGGAAAAGCACAGGGAAACCCCAGAAAGAAAGGCCACAAAAAAGCGACGAAAACTATGCGTAGTAAAAGCGAATTTTATGGAGCATCCTCGTTTAAGAAACAGCTCCTGAATTTAAATTTCCCTGCGTTCTCATATATACACGAATATATATCTATATCTATATATATGTATATGTATGTACCATTGCAGAGAGGCTGCCAGGTCCGTGTTCTTGTATCATTGTGTGCGTTCGAGCGCATTCAACCTCAAAATGAATAATTGCATATGCTTCAATGATTTGCGACTTTATTCGAGAGCACAAGCTTCTCGCAAGCTTCTGCTATGCTCGGCTCGCCAACTGCCAATACTTTAAAGTTAAAGGCCAAAAGTTCAATTGCAGGACAAAGGGACTAAAGGACATAGGAGAGATGATGGGTCATATTGAAAATGGCGGAGGGGGGATGAGTGCCCGGCCATCCTGGCTAATTTGAGAATTGCTCGGCTTAATTGCGTGGCACTTAAACAATAATCAAGTTAACGGTTATGCCAGCGATTATCGCCATTTTTACACCGATGCCAATACTAAGGATTATTGGCTGCCCATTAACAGGAGCAGCAGCAATTCCAATCCGAGTCCCCCACACCGCTGCTCCAATTTGATTTCGTCCAATCCACTGACACTCGTGCACTGTCAGAAAGATTCTTACCTGAAATGTCAGATTTCACTGTTTAGAAAAGCAACATAGGAGTTTACTGTCATTCAATGGGCATTCCAAACAGAGTCATTATCGAGAATCAACAATGAACAAAATTGACGATCTCCTAGAGCAGCTGCAGAGGCAGGAAAACGATCTCAAACAATTTCATCTCAAGGAGCCGGCCTCTACGCCCGAGGAGCAATTATGCCAATGGGAGTTGGACAAAGCTCAGATTAGCCATTACAATAGCTTACGCAATGGCATTCTGACGAATATAGAGCAGGAGATAACTAACATGGGCATTGCCCGATTGCGTAACCAGGTGAACGGATTCAATCGCAGTCTGGCCAGGATGAACGAGATCAACAACTGCTCCATTTGTAAAAAGATCTGCAAGCCAGATGACATGCACTACCTGGTATCACTGCGATGTGGACACCTCTTCGGGAGCCTTTGCATCTACTCTGCCATCCGGGATTACTTCCAGTGCCCCGTTTGTCGACGGTCAGCTTATCCCTCCCATGTCCGCCGAGTCTATCTATAAAGTTTATTGCTTTTTAAATTTTGTTAAATACAAAATAAATTTTATGAAAATTCACATATTTTTATTATTTATTGCATTTTTAAAATTGTTCGCCAAAAGTCGATAAATTACTTTCATCAAAAACCATGTTAAGCAATAATCCGATTTTTTTGGCAGTGCTCGCAGCATCTTTATTGGGTTTAATGTGAGCACATTTTCGCCATTGAGCAGCCCTATTTGCCACCCAGCAGACCACCCAAGATGCCACCGCCGCCACTGCTGCTGCCGCCTCCGGTGATGCCGGGTATTGAAATGAGATTGCCCAGCAATGGGTTGCCATTTAAGGTGAGCAGGCAGCTGTCAAAGCAATTGCATGGAAAAGAGCAAATATATGAGCGAGAATATCCTGGAGGACTGAACCGGAAGTTGCCACTTACCGCAGATCCAGGCGGATGACGTACTGACAGGCCCATTCCCGGAGGCACTGCAACGTGGAGATCGGGTTTTAAAGCCGTCCGTCGGATTTATTTAATCTACACTTACCCGTAAAGCTTCGGGAGAAGGTCGAGGGCAAGTGCCACTCTCGCCGCCGCCTCCTCCACCGCCACCACCTCCACTTCCGCTTCCACCACCTCCGCCTCCACCGCCACCACTTCCGCCTCCTCCGCCACCACCCCCCTCCTCCACCGCCACCTCCTTCTTTGGGATAAACAGGAACTGGTACTGGGACAGGAACTGGCACTGGAACAGGCACAGGCACCTTCTTTACTGGAGTGGGTGGTTGTGATTCCCAGGGATTCTAAATAATAGGTTTCTATAGTATCATCCTAGTTTTCTTTTTAGATAGAGTCCTAGCTTACATTATGACCCAAAGCCAGGGATATGCATCCCAGCAAAGCTAGGGATATTGTTAATTTCCTCATCTCAGCTTGGGTCAGAAGAAAGTCATCCACTGATATCGACTCACTGCCTCAAAACGCCTTATATATCCGACCAAGTCACACAGGTGTTTTTTTATATATAGGTCATGCAGTAGTCGCGACGAGAAAATCCGTTCCGAAATTAAAAGTTAAATAATGGTTGCAAAGAACAATGACAATCAGCTTCAATTATTAAAAAGAGTAAATGGGTTAGTTATTGTAACTTAAAAAGAAATATAATAAGATTCTTTATAAGTAGGGAATATTTCTTATAGGCATAGTTCTTAAACCAAACTGCAAGTTTTAAGTTATAATTAAAAATCTGGCAATATATAACAAATAAAAGCCTCCTGAAGGTATACTACACATCTATCAGCATTATACGACAATATTTAAGATAAAAACTAAAGCATTTAACTTAAAAGAAATCATTAAATAAGGATTGTTGGAGTCAATTGTGTTTTTATTAAGCTTAAATTAATTAATAAATTCAAACTGGTGTAGAGAAATGTATGGCAACGCGGAATCGGTTAAACAGACTAATAATGATCCGGTCACACTAGGTGGCAGACCTTCCAACCGTTCTGCCCGTTTCATTACCCGCGAAATTTAAAAATACTGTTCAGTCGAACAAAGCATTATAAATTAAATTTTAAAACTAATTAATAATTAATTTGAAGAACATTAAAACAACACTGTCTTCATTGACTTTCTATATATTTTCAATTAATTTGATAATCATAAATATTTTATTTATTCGCCATGCAAACCATGTACAATTACATAAATAGGTAGGTTCATTTCAATTTCAATTTGTGAGTTTTAGTGGTTTCGTGTACTAATTTTGTTTTTTCGGTTTGGCAACTAGACGTATATGTATAGTATATATATATTTATAAGTATATATAAGTTACGAGAACTAATTGTACAATAATTCATCTAATAATACCGCTGTGTATAAGAGTAATATGAACGATCGCTTGCTAGTTGATTAGTATACGTAAGACAATATCATTACCGTTGGCAATACAAATATCAATGGTGTAATTGATCCGCGCGAGAACGGGCGCAGTAAAAGAGGATAAACGCACATCCATAATCGAGACTTTTCGTGGAGACTCGTAATTCCTAGTTCCATTGTACAGGTAGGTGAGGCTAACCATGCTAATCATGTTCGAAACATTCAACTGACTTAACTTGACTTTTTGAGCAGTGTTTTTTTTGTGGATTATCCTTGAGCAGGTGGGTGGTTCATGGGCGCTTAAGGCATAATGGCAAAAAGTAATCGCTGAATTGCATTAATTTACGTTACTTAACATAGAAATAAAGATAATTTGTGTTCAAATGTCCCTTTCTTATTGTATTATTCATTATTATTAAGTTGTTTAAAGTGAAAAAGTTCTTCATATGGTTTTTAATTAACTATTTTAATGTGTTTTTAATATTTGCTATTGCATTTTCAGCATTAAGTTGAATAAATTTCAAGTTTTAAATACTATTTCATCTCTGAGTTGTTTAGATATTTCCACTTAAGACTCATTGTTTAAAGTAAGAGACTCGTTTTAGGTATTTGCAATCGGTTTAGTGACTTATTACTGTTTCGTTAAACTAACTGATTAAGAAGCTAAAATTCAACAGATTACTCTTCGTCCTTATGAACATAAACCTAACCCACAGATCCACCCACCCATCAGGGATCAGAGTTATTTGCATTAATCAGCAGCTGTGTATAAATCGGGGTGGTCGTATAGTATTAATAAATCAGTGGAGCGCTTAGCGTCCGAATCCAAATCCGAATCCGCAGCTGCACTGCCCCGGTGATCCTCAGGTGCACTGCATCTTCTTGCAGTTACACAGCCACTTGATGATCCTGGCGTTCCGCTCGACAATCGACGGAGGTTCCGAGGGTCTATAGGCTTGTGTGGCTTGCGGCTGGGTTTCCGTACTATCCGGCAATCTCATCGAATCCACTGTACTAACATCCGAGAAGAAAACGGTGCTGGAATCATCCGAGGCATCGTCCGTTTCTGAGTGGTGTCTCCTTGGTTGACTATAAATCTCGTGGAAGGCCTCGTCATTCAATCCCAGACGATCAAAGAACTTCTCCAGCTCCGAAATGCTGGCATTCAGGGCCTCCCTCTCCATGTCCAAGCTGTTGTGGTAGACCTCCGAAGAGAAACCTTTAGGGAAGAATACGTTCTCGTGGTCCACACTTCCCCGATGTTGCTTGTACGCAGCCAGAACACCGCTGGCCGTGCCCATTCCTCCTGATCCTGGTGGGACTAGGCCTCCTCCTCCTGATCCCGGTGGTCCACCCATTTCTATAAAATGGAAATATATTTATTAAAATTAACTCAAGATGCGGGAAAAGAATCATTCGCACCTCCTTGAACTGGCAGTCGATTCCTGTTCTTGAAGCGAATGCACCGCTGCCTCTTGAACTGGATGGGCGGTGGACTGATGTCGTCCACGGATGGCGCCGATCCGGGGCTCTGGACCAGAGAGCTCTGCGAGTGATTGATGCTCGTGTAGCCCTGGGAACTGGTGTGCAGCTGCTGACTGGAAGAGCTAGAGTATCGTGGGGTCTGGGTTTTGAGCCTGGGCGATGGGGGTGTCGGGGTGTAGTCATCCTGAAAAGCTTCCGGAACTTCCGGAGTGGGGGTGAAGTTCAGCAGATAATCGGAACCCATTCCCGTGTCCTGTTTGCAACGGCAATCCAAACATTCCGTATTGCGACTACCACTCATTCCGGAATAGTCCCCAGCTGGCGTGACATAACCACAGTAGGAATTGGCACTGTGCTGGGTGGAGGAACCACTGTCCCTCCGAGTGGCCGCCACCAGGGTGCAACAGTTTTTGATTGTTCCGCTTGCCGGAGCCGCACTTCCGGCCACATCCCGCTGCCGCTCTCTCTTATAGCAGGGCTCACTGCGATGGGTATAGTGACCGGAACTTCCGCCGGAATCGCGATTTATGGAGGACTCCCCGGCGGACTTGATCGACCGATTACCACGACTGCAGCAGCTCAGGATCTCACTGTGCGGCGAGTGGCGACTTATCTGGGTATGCAGATCCGGCAGCGACTTATGGCTATTGATGTTGAAGTCGCCACTGGGATACGGAGCACTGCGATCCTCCCCCGTATTGGGAACCTCGTGTGAATGCGAGTACGAACGCTGGTAGTTGTATCTGAAAGAGCGGAAGGGATAACAATATTAGATTTTGGACAGATTCAGGATGGAATGCATCATTTCAATATCTTTTTTTGGAAAAAATTACCAAAATTTAACATTTTTAACTGCGAATGCAGTTCAAGTAAAAATTAGAAAACAAGCTCAACGAGGTATGCCATTCCATATTCAGACTATTATTGGGTAAGTTATGGGCATAACACTGCCATGTTGAGGAGAAATCTGAGGTAACCAATTTTCGCATTTTCGATAAGGGGTAACATCATTAAAATTTGCAAAAAATGACCAAATTTTAACATTTTAAACTGTGAATGCAGTTTTGTTGGAATTTTAATTTCGAGTCCAGCGATGTATGACATTCCGTACTCCGTTCGTGTTTGGCTTTGTGGTGGGAAGAAATTTTGGGGAGACAAACAGACTTATGATTTCTGACAGAAAACGCTATCTTTTTTATCGGTGTTGTACCTATAACTTAGTCAAAACAAGACGCACAGCTCAGAGAACGACTGTTTTGTTATTCTAACGACCGAAACAAACTTTCCTCATCATTCGTTTGGTGATTTTGGGAATTTTAATTTTTGGTATTTTTCTCAATTTTTTGTAAGGGGTAACATCATCAAAATATGCAAAAATTGGCAACATTTTTACGTTTTAAACTGTGAATGCAGTTTTGTTGTACTTTTAATTACGAGCTTAGCAAGATATCACATTCCATATTCGGCTAAGTTATAGGCATAATTTTGTCATTTTGAGGGGAAAATCGCACATAACTAATTTTCGAAATTTTGGATTTTTGGAGAGCAAAACTTAAAAAATCACCATTTAACTCACCGGTAGCGATCGTTGTGGACCTGTACCGACTTGGCCGCATATTCGGCGGGCGGGCTGATGGGTCGGTAGTTCTCAGTTAGGACCAGTGGCTCCTCGCCATCCCGTCCGAAACCATGGCTGGGCATATAGATGGGCGGGGGAATCCTCAGAGCGCCCGCCTGACCACCAACCTCCTCCTCGCCGTAATCTGTGGGCAAGAGTTCCGCACTGCCGTCGTTCATGTCGTGGCGCCTCAAGGTCCCGCCATTGCGCTCCTTTCCCGATTCCGATCCCAACAGCATGCGCAGCTTGTGCTGCAGTAGATTGTTGTTCACAGCTGCTCCTCCGCCGACACCTCCAGTTCGACCTTGACCTTGGCCTTGGGTGTGACGGGAGTGCGGGTGGTGTTGGTGTGGGTGGGAATGATGGTTGTGCAGGTACTGCTGCTGCTGTTGTTGCTGCTGCTGCTGCTGCTGCTGTTGTTGCACCTGCTGTTGCACCTGCTGCTGTCGACTGAGATTGAGACTCATGTACCGCCTGTCCTCCATATCATAGTGATGACCATGGGCTTCCTCTGGCCGACGTCCTCTTTTCCCGCTGGCTACATTGTTCCCCCCACCGTTCCGGTAACTCGCCTGCTGCAGTCGCTCAAAAACCGCCTCGGATTTGATATAAAAGGGTTTGGATTCCGCCAGTAGCTCCACTGCGGATTTCCTCTTGCTGTAATGCCTGCCTCCTGTGTGATAGAAGGCGTTGTGGTGACCCCAATAGTTCCGACTGGCCGCAGCCGTTTCTGGCAGGGCGGAGGCAGAAAGTGGTCGCTGTCCGGCGGAGGTGGACATCCCATATCCATAGGCCGCATCCGCCATGCCACCTCCACTGAAAAACTGCTGAGTGGTGGCATATAGCTGTTGACTGGTGGTCCTCGAGTACTTGGGCATCGTAGGGTAGGCAGAGGAGGGCGTGGAGCCATGATGGCCACCCGGGGAACTGCTGCCGTTGCAGGATCGCTGGCGCGGACTGCTACAGCCATGGACCACGGCAGCCATTATTGGTACCTTTCCTTAGATTTCTTGGTTTCTACGAATTCGGTGATTTCCTTGACTTCTAGTTGGGCTCCTGGTGGGCAGGTGTTGCTGCAGGTGCCACCTGCTGTTTCTCCTACTTTTTTTTTCCTCCCTCAGCTTTTCTGCTGGCCTCGATTGGCGGGGGTGCGAGTTCGGGTCCGGGCTTTGTGGCATGCGCAATGGTCGGCGTGCTGCGTATACTGAAATTACAATACAATAATTTTCAGCTAACCAAGGCTTGCTGGCAGTCACCTCCTACACCTCCATGGCAGGCCAGAAAACTAGACCAGACCAAGGCGAAACCAATGAGCACCCGACATGCACTTGGCCGCAGGAGGTGGCAATTGGTTGGTCTGTCGTGACTTGGTCTAGTTACCCAGCGAGTATTTATAGATTCCAACGCATTTTCACTTAAATCCTTTCAGAGGTACACATGTCAAGTTTGGCAATGAACTAGGATTCTCCATATTCGTTTTGGCTTTAGTTTTAGTTTAAGTAACACTTTTAAATTCCCAGACCCTCCTAGGATTGCGTTTTAATTTTTGGTTTGGAGAAGTCAAAAATTCCTCGGCTGGGAACTCACCAGGCGCTTCGAAAATTCCTTCAGTTGTGCGACTTTGGCAAGGTCTGCTACATTGTGCCTCTTTGAATAACAGATGTTGTGCCGCTTCCAAACTGTTCCGTCCTCCCAAAAAGCTCTACTCATGCGCTCCAGCAGATAGTCCCCAGGCGGAGCTTTTACTAGCGATATATAGTAGGTGTGGTGGTTACCAGAAGTTCTACTCTATACAGGAGATAAAGAAGCATCTAGAGGTATTCAGGTTTTAAGTTTTAATAGTTAAAAAGTGTTTTAATGACATCATACTTTTATTTTTTATGCCCATTTCTTGGAAGATATTTTAGCAACAGCTTGATAAGAAGTTCACTAAGTTCACAATATTGAATATATCATCATCGTAAACCTATGAAACCTTAAAAAGCAAGTCATCAAATGTTGATTAAAGTATTATACATGTCTTAAAAGTTCCCGAAAGATAGATTAGTTACTCCTGGCTAATTTAAAAGGGAAAAGAGTGGGTCTTCATCATTTTGAAACTACATTAAATTCATAGGGAAGGTTATTCATAATTAATAATAATTTAAACTTGAAACATTTTTAAATTTAAAAAACCGTTTCCAAGTTCCCTTAGACTTTTCCTATCTTTCCGCTCATCTTCACAAGGCTTTTCAAACTGTCGAAAGCTCTTTTTCCAGAACTTAAAAAGAGAGACCCCACGAGAAGCACAGTTTAGTCAATCAGCGAGCAACTGTTGAGCAGTCAAGATGTCCGGCAAGGCAACCTATGTGAAGCACAACAACGGCACCCAGATCCAGTCCATTGGATTGGGCACCTACACGGTAAGACTATCACCTGAAGATCACGTCTCTGATATCGATCGGTGCAATATCAGTGGTTATCAGTGGGGAACATTAAATATCCCATAATAAAATGATTTGCCCTTTTTAGTCACTGGGCGGCGATTGTGAACGGGCCACGCTCCATGCAATTGATGTGGGCTACCGGCACATAGACACCGCCTACTTCTACGAGAACGAAAACGAAGTGGGTGCGGCTGTTCAGAAAAAGATTGCCGACGGCGTCATCAAGCGGGAGGATATCCACATCACCACCAAGGTCAGTTGACAAGTCTCCTGGAATGTACATCATAAACTAATCCCTGATTGGAAATTCATTTCCTCAGCTCTGGTGCCACTTCCATGAGCCGGAGAAGGTGGAGTACGCCTGCCGAAAGACCCTAAAGAACTTTGGACTGGAGTATGTAGATCTCTACTTGATGCACTGGCCCTACTCCTATGTCTACAGGGGGGATAACGAAATGATGCCCACCGATGCTAAGGGCGAGGTGGAACTCAAGTGGGTAACACCAGAAAACTAATTTATGTTTCACATTTTCATTCTTAATTTTCTATTTTTCACCCTTACAGCGACATCGATTACCTGGACACCTGGCGTGCCATGGAGAAGCTGGTGGAACTGGGCCTCACCAAAAGCATCGGCGTTTCCAATTTCAACTCGGAGCAGTTGACTCGCCTGCTGGCCAACTGCACGATCAAGCCGATCCACAACCAGGTGAGTCTAATGCGGTTTCCCATTAGGTTTTGGTTTCCTAATAGACCGCTTTCTAGATCGAGTGTCATCCCGCTTTGAACCAGAAGAAACTGATTGCCCTGTGCAAAAAGAATGACATTGTGGTGACCGCCTATTGCCCGCTGGGAAGACCCAATCCCGCTGAAAAGACTCCCAATTACATTTATGATGCCAAGGTCCAGGCTATTGGAGACAAATACAAGAAGTCTACAGCCCAAGTTGTGCTCCGATATCTGGTAAGGATTAAGTTGTAATTAGCAAGCAAGACCCTTTATCAGTTTTCTAACTATCTAAACAGATTGAGATCGGAACCATTCCATTGCCCAAGTCATCCAATCCCAAGCGCATCGAGGAGAACTTTAAGATCTTCGACTTCAAGCTGGATGCTGAGGATCATGCTGTTCTGGATTCGTATCACACTGGAGAGCGATTGATTCCCATGAGCCATGCTGTTAAGAGCAAGAACTATCCATTCCATATCGAATTTTGAGCGGGAATGAAGGAAAATTATTGATATTCAGTTCAATATGATATTCTGAGAAACAAACCACTTCACAGTGAAGATTTAATGTCTGTTTTTGTATTTGTTAAATAAATAAAGGTTTGATACCGCTTTTATTATAATTTTGAATACAAAATTTCAATAAGTAGATCTCTGATTATATAAAATATATTATGGTTCGATCGTATGTTTTATGATCTATGTTTTGTATGTTTGTACCAACACATCTTTTCCTGTTATCATACTAAAGTTCACAGGTGTGGGCAATAAATTCGGAAGAGGGGCTCTATAATCTTAATCTTTTATGAGATCTAAGAGTCACTAAAATATATTCAAAATTTTATAAAATTCCTAAAAACGTTAAGTTTTTTTTTATAATATTTTTAGATTCTCGCCCCTTTCATACACCTCTGCTGATCTGTTAGTGGTTCTTAGAGAGATTTAGATAGAAAGAGAGAGCTTTTGCTCGCTCAACTAGTTTTCAAAAAGAATTCGCATGGAAAATTCCATTTAATCAAGATCACATAGACAAATGCAATCCCACCCGCAGATGTTTGAATTCAATTATTTAAAATGGGAAACCAAATTGCCAGAATGCACAGCAGTAAACAAAACACATGTGATAAGCAAAAAAAACAAAGCTAATAAACTAATAAACTTTTCGCGCAATCTGACTATCAAGCTATCGATAAATGATATTTGAACTTCTTCGTAAAGTTTTATTTGTGGGTATTTCCTTGGCGTAATTTGTAAGCTTTTAGATTTAAATATATAAAACGTTTAATTTTTTGGTTTTTTCTTACTTTTATAAAATATATTGAAATATATATTAAAAACTAGATGGATTTTGGGTCAAAAACTTTAAGTCTTTCAATTTGGAACAATTTATTGTACATGGTTATTAAATATATAATTTAAAATACATTTTTAGTTTTTTTAGGATGTGAAATAGCTTAACGATATAACGATAAATAGTTAGCAATATAATGATATTAGCGACAGAAACTATTCCTATTTTATTTATATCTCTTTAAGAAATATATAAAAACAGATTTAAAGTTATACCAATTACCCGCCAATTACGGCTTTTGAAAGTTTAACTAGCCTTTTCAACACCTTTATAAGAACAGTGATTTGAGGAGCTCAGACATTCAGCGTCAAACTGTGTAACAGTGAAGATGGCCGGCAAAACAGAGTACTTGAAGAACAACGATGGCACCCAGATCCAGTCAATTGGCCTGGGCACCTTTGCGGTGAGTCTATGAGTGGTAGATCACGTCTCCGATATTGGTTGGGAATGTCGCTTATCAGTCACAAATAAGGTTTAACGTCATTTACGAGCGTTTAACGTTATTGATGACTTTTAATTTCAGTCGGTGGATGGCGATTGCGAACGGGCCGTTCTCCATGCGATTGATGTGGGCTACCGGCATATAGACACCGCCTACTTTTACGGGAATGAAGGTGAAGTAGGTGCTGCGGTTCGAAAGAAGATTGAAGAAGGTGTTATCAAGAGGGAGGATATCTTCATCACCACCAAGGTCAGTTGGCAAGGAGTTTGGGAACTTGAGTATTAACCGATTTCCTTAGCTTTGGTGTCACTTTCATGAACCGGAAATAGTAGAGCACGCCTGCCGCAAGACCTTGGATAACATTGGTCTGGACTATGTGGACCTCTATCTGATCCACTGGCCTTTCTCCTACAAATACCGAGGTGACAACGAACTGATTCCCAAAGATGCCAATGGAGAGGTTGAACTTATGTGAGTAATAAAAAGTATTTTTAATTGATTTACCACTTACAAGTGATGGTGAAATACAACCAACTTTAGTTCTTCTGTTATCTTTAATCTATAAGAGTTCGCACTATATAGGCCGCAATCATTGTTCATTGATTAAAAGGTGTCTATCACTTTGTTTACGTTAATTTAAAGTGCAAAAAGTTTATCTAGTTGTAATAAGAAGTTAAATCTTCTTACAGTGACATCGATTACCTGGACACCTGGCGGGCAATGGAGAAGCTGGTGGATCTAGGCCTGACCAAAGCCATCGGAGTCTCCAATTTCAACTCGGAGCAGTTGACCCGCCTGCTGGCCAACTGTAGGATCAAGCCAATCCACAATCAGGTTCGTCAATTACAGGATTTCCTTTCCAGATTTGATAATGGCTTTCTTTTCAGATCGAAGTCCACCCAGCTCTAGATCAGACAAAGCTGATTGCCCTGTGCAAAAGCAATGACATTGTGGTGACCGCTTTTTGCCCGCTGGGCAGGCACAATGCCGAGCTAAGAACACCCGCTTTTATGTACGATGGCAAGGTGCAGAAGATTGGAGACAAGTACAACAAGACCATTGCCCAAGTGCTGATCCGATATCTGGTAAGGAAGTGACTTATTGCTAGAGGGTGTTGGCTGATCATGTTTATGATTTTTGCTTTACAGATTGAACTTGGAACTATCCCATTGCCCAAGTCGTCCAATCCCAAGCGCATCGAGGAGAACTTCAAAGTCTTTGATTTCCAACTGGATGCTGAGGATCATGCTATATTGAATTCCTATCACAATGGAGAGCGAGTGGCTCATGCTCGGCAAGCCATCAAGAGCAAATACTATCCCTTTAATGTCTACAGTGCTTGTTTTTAATATTTTTAAGAAATATATAATTGATTTTTAAACAAAAATTAAAGGCAGTTTCTTTATCAATTAAAATGTAGAGCCAAATTATAGATAAAAGATAAATAATCTCTAACGTCAGTTATTCGATTGTTAAGTGTTTGTCTATTTTAGTCTTATCACTCTAAGTGGTTCTTATTAGTTTTCAAGGATATGTTGTTGGCTTACAGTACCTTATAGTATTTCACACAGGTTGGTATATTTTGGTGAGCGAATACTAACTATTAACAGTAACATGTTACATTTCTGTTACAAGAAACGGTCGAAAAAGTAAACTATTGAGGGAAATAGTCTAGAACTGAACCATTAAGGAAATAGGATTTGAATTCTTAACTTGGACTGGTCTCACTGTAAGAATTCCAAAAACAATTCTTTTTGTAAACAACGTTTTATATTTATTTAAGGTCCTCATAATCTGTTCTGTTCTCCCAACTAATTGTAGAAACAAGATGCAGAAAAAGTAAATAAACTCCACTAACCAAACAACTCCGTCCAATCGGTGGAAATAAGAGCTTCGCCAGCCGGGCCGGAAAAGTAGAGCAGACTCCCAGAAATCGATGCCCCACTGCCACACAATGGTCTATATGCGAATTGTGCTGACAACCTTGGTGACCATTACGTGTCTGCTGGGGGATAACTTTGTGGAGCTGACCCAACATCCTCTGCTAAAGGCCCTGGCCGATAATGCCACCCATGCGGCAATCGGAGCCCTCACGGGCATCGCCTTTGCCATGCAGTTTTATGAGAGGACCTCGCAATTATTCGGCTGGATATTGATTTTCACCTGCTTCGTTGTGTCATCGTTCATTGACTTGGACCACTTTGTAGAGGCGCGTTCCTTGTATCTAGAGGTGGGTAACTTAAATAATTGTATGGAATTCCTACTAATCAAGGTCTTGCAACTTCCCTAGGATGCCACCAATCTCTCAAAGAGGCCATTTCTTCACTGTTCTAGTATTATTGTGGTACTACTGCTGTTCTACATTTGCACTGCATGTCTGAACTACTTCCGGACCAGCTTGATGCTGGGATCTCTACTTTGTGCCTTCATCACACACCATACAAGGGATGCCGTAAGGCGGGGTTACTGGCTTTGCCCTTTGGGACACACGGATAGGATGCCCCAATTGGCCTACATAGTGACTACCATCCTAACGCCTCACCTACTGGGCTGTCTGCATAATATATGCCGCAGTGCCACTGTACTTAACTTCCTGGGACATTACATCAAGCTAAGCGAGGGCCAATATCGCAGCAGTTCCACTGCCAACTATCGCTATATGCAAGTCTAGGCTATGTATTAGAAAACACTTTGTGATAATACTGCAAAACATCATCAAATGGTAAATGCAAAATGCTTTTCAAGCTTCAAGCGCTTTAAGATTAGAGATCAGCTAGAAACCAAAAACTTCCACACTACAGGACACAATTTTACACAGATCTACTACTAGGAGTACCTTTTTTAGGGGAACTATGCTTCCCGTCCAATTGATTTTTCTCTGTTAAGTAGCGTGTAGGTTTTTACTAGCATCTAATTATATAGTACAGATAATATCCGAATTTGTGATATGTAGTCCATAGAGAAACTAGAGTAATGAGCATAGCGCACAATATGATATGTAATCGATTTTCAACTTCAACTTTGACTCTTGTATTTGTAGGCCAATCGAATTTTAATCTAATCGAACAATAAACTCAATGTAATTGCCTTAAAACATCGGCCTTGTAATCACGACTAATCCAATTGATTTGCCTGGGCCACCTTTATTTTATTCGCTGTTTATTTGTGGGCCAAATTAGTTGCCATTTACAAATTGGCCCTAATGGCTGGCATTGCTGCGAAGGAATCCCGTCATAAATCGACTTTTCTGCTTATTTAGACGAATCGGTCGGGGCTATTTTTAAACGAATTTAATTTTAAATGTTCGCCATTATAAATAAATCACATTTCGATTGAAAAAGTTCGCAAGGGATATAAAAAACTTTGCGTATTCGAAATTTTCCTACGCTATTCAGCGGAAAAACGCAGTGTTTGCGGGTCAATAATTGGGTAATTAAACTTCCACGTGCGATTGAACAAAGAAAAAAGAAAACATTCTAGGGTATTGTCAGTCCCAGAATTTCCCACGCATACCCATTAACAGCATCTGAATGTGTTGGCAACACCCACGATACAACATTTGTTTGACATACACTGAGAGATAACTCCATCGAAAGTAGTTTTTTGTCTTGTTTTGATATTTGTTTTATTTTCTTGAATTTTTTTATGATTATACATATATATTTATTCTTTGATAGTGCCATATTTTAGTGAGACATCACAAAGTGATTCATAAAATCATCAAAATTTCTCCCTGTCCACGCAAATGATGATCGTTTTGGGCTTGGTCGCGTCTCGTTAGTGGACACACATATATTTATGTGACTGATCAGAAGCGCAGATCGTTGCGGAGAACCCAGTACAAAAAATGTCGGCGCGGCGGCCACAGCATCGGATCTAAAAAAAGAGTCAAGAGGTCGCGTGTCCAAGTCTTTCGGGTCCATCGCGTGTGTGTTTTCTGAGTTGGCCAAGATTGCGGACCAAGAGGATATCAGTGAGAATCCGCTTGCCGTAAGTGCGCTGGATTTGTAGACTACTTGTAGACTTGGCTAACTGTTTGGCTTCCATTACACTGTTTTATTGTTATTTTCAAAGTTACAATAGCATAGTTAGAGTTCCGCTTTATTGTATGCCCCTCGACCTTGGGCACTTTTCACGCTTCGTTTGGCAACTGGCCGTATATTTGTCTATCGATGATATCACAGCCGGGTCATTAAGCCCCTAGCCAAGTGCGACATTTCTGTTTGCCTTTCGCCGATAACTAACTTAAGTTGCTAAACGCCGTTCTCAGAGTCATTAACACCCCGTTAAAATCCAGCGTAAATCACGGGATCCGCCACTGGGAACCCAGCAGAGTTTCATAATATTTATCTGGCACGATCATAACATGCATACACAATGTACTACAAACATGTATATTATATGTATATGGTTTAAAAATAAACATTGTAAATATTTACATTGGAAATCTATAAAGAGCAACAAACCGATTCCTTCCCATAATTCTCTCGCTCGCCGTTCCCACAGTTTTCGTCAAAGGTTTATCACCATTATTTTCTTCTTTTACAAAAGTAATAATAATAATAATGTTCCTAAAAAATAAATAACTCATAAAGTTTCTGTGACTAGCTGAAGCTTTCATGTTTATGAACTGATAATTAGCTCGTAAACTGTCCGATTCCGGTTGCCTCTGCTTAGAAGCCATCTGAACTGATCCGATCTCGATGGGATGGGAGATCTCTTGCAGCATATTAAGTTCCCTCGGGTCTAGGTGTGAAGTCATTCACTGATAAGGCCAATGATCGATAACGAGTTCAGTAACAGCTCTCAAACAGTTGTGCAATCTTTGAACAAAATTTACGAAAAGAGACGGGAATATGATGTTCAAGTTCCATAAGTCGAATCATATAAATATGCCAAATATAAATAATGAACTTCAGAAGAATATGTAGAACATTCACATCAAAATGAAAAGGTTCGATTTTTAATATGTTGTCCAAGGAAAATAAAATTTAGGAACCTTAAAAATACTTACTTCATTGTTAAAGGGACGTCACACTGTAACTGAACTTTATGATTGATGCATATTTGAGCAGCTGAGCAAAGAAAAGTTAAATAAATTACCCATATCTATAGAAGCCTTACCTCTCTGTGACCCCATGGCGTATGAGCAATGTGTCATTTTTGGACGTCTCACCTGAACAATCTGAGCGGTTCACGACAGCTGCCTAATTAAAATTATCGAAGATTCCGCAGCTTCGTCGCCGTCTGCCAACTTTTAGGTGTCCGGCCAACGGGTCGGCTTGTCGATCGGTATAAATAGCTCATACGCAGAGTGGGCACACGAACGCACTTGCAATTGCACAGGCACTTCTTTTCTGTCATTGCATGTAAAAACCGGGTTGAATGACTCGAGTCCGTTCGTCCGACTAAATATAACACTTGCAATTTGCCCTGTTTATATAATACCCTTTCGAGTGCTGGACTTAGCTCAAAGAACAGATTTAAAAGAGGCTACGCTGAGATCACTTAAGATGAAGTTGTGTTAAGTTTGTTATGTAGAGAGTGTTGTTCCTAGAGAGAAATAGTCTAAAATCGATTTAGAACCTGCCTTTCTGTAGTTGATAAATGATTTGCATATTTTTTTATAAAATCTTTTCTATTTTATTTATTTTATAAAAACATATACACAAACGTTGCGACGAACGACGCGTCGTTGGGCAAAGAACAAACGAGCAGGGAAATCGATGAAAATAAATCAAAAAATAAAAATTAACAAAATGGCAATCCCAGAACGAGGCGAGATTTCAATATTTTTGGTTCAAAAACGACCGACAGGGAGAGAGAATGCCGCTCTCAACTTTTCTCTCCCGCCGACTTGTTTTTGGCTTTCGCTTTTTTTTTTGGCAGCTTTTCGAGCGCGTTGAAGCGCCGTGAAATGCTCAATATTGTTTGGGATTCCGTGGCGAGACGATCGTCGAAAAGGTCGCGCGCGCTGTTGAAATAAATTCAAGCGATTCACAAAGAAATATATTATTAGGAAATAAAAAAAAAAACATACACACCATTAATAATCCCCCTAAAATTTAAGATCTAAATACAAAGACAAAAGGAAATAAAAAAACACACACTAAACACATTTTATTGGTGAATAATTATACTGTGGACAGTGTCAAGAGTGCTAACACATTTAATACACATTCAAGTGCTAGTAAATAAAGCTGAAACTAGGCCAACACAAAGGCGGAAAGTTGATTTAAAACAAAATATTACTCATACGCAACCGGCACCTCATTCATTCCCATCTCAGTTATCAGCTTTTTGAATGAGCCCAATGAGCGGACTGCGTCAACAGCTGAAGGTGAGTACCACAATGCCTTATCGACGGGATAACCCCCATATATGTATATATATATATATATATATAGACTGATCCCTCACGATCTTGAGTTTTTAGCCCAAAACCTGCTCGCATTTGCATAAATATTTACCTAATCGCTTTTCAATGGTGGCAACAACTTTCATTCTCCGCCTGGCAGGCACTAAAGCTGCCTCCGTTGTATACACAATTTGTTTTCATTTCTTTTATGATGAGCAAATATTAAATCCCTCTCTCGTTGACCGGCTATAAATAATTTTAATAACAATATTGGTACTACATTGCGGCAATTCCCCTGTCTGGGTCGCCAACAAATATATAAAATAGCAGATCGTATTTGTTAATTTCACCATCTCTTGTCAAATATTTATGTTAACCAAGTTTAATTTAAATATTTATGCCGCTTTATTTTCGGAATTAAACAAATTTAAATAATCATTTTGGCATTAATGGCTGCAATTAGCGTTTAAAAGCTGATTTGATCAACAAATAAGATGTTATTTCGACATCCACTTACCAGCTGATTGATATTAATTGCTGCTTGTTTATATTTTTACATTTTTACATGGCTAATTTAAGAAACTAACAAGCTTATTTATAATCACAATTTCGTTTTATAATAATATGGCTATTATTGTGAAAAACTGACTTCCTTGTTTCAAGCAATTTACTCATTAAAAGCAAGTCTACAATTTAGCCACATTAAAATGGAACTGTCTGCCATATATTTTTCCAGATCTGAATAGACAGAAATACTTTTGAGACTCACATAAAGTTATTCCACAACATTGCACTCTGTTTTTCTAAGTCATAAAAGGCGTCGCTGTCGCAGCCCATAACATTGTAGCCAAAACACATAATTAAAAAGTACAGACAAGCATCCATAAAAGGCATATAGATATATCTATATATATATATAGATATAGACATGTGCATGTTTCTCTGGAAATTAGACTTTCGCGGGAGGGCATCATAATGGTTTCTTAATGTGCCCGTCCAAGATTTTTGGCATACAAAATGCGCTTCAGTGCTTTTCAAGGCATTAAAAAGTCGATTGTTTATCGCCATAGCCGTATATATACTTGGCCAATATAAACAATAGCGATTATTAACTTTTTCCCTTCCATTTCGATCTGTATATTTTGAATTCGTCTACCTAAATGTGATATAAGCACACTATACGCATTTTCATTTGAGGTCCAAAGTTTGATACTTGTTTATCAGAGTTTCCCGATTGACGACACAACAATATTCTGTCTGGATTTATACAAACAAGCCGCAGATTTATGATCTTGGCAAGGCTTTGCGGCTCATAAAAAATTTCGTGAATTCGTGAAAAAGTGTCAAAGAAAAATGCCATTAAGCGAGCATTAAAACGCTATTCGCTACAAATTTATTAATTTGTTTACATTTTATGCGTCTTGGCACGTGAGCAATGCCATAATCTGCATTTATTTTCACTGTTAAAGACAATAAACGAAGAGTTGGCTAAGGTAACTAACCTGGGCCAAGGTTTTACACAGTTGCCGTTTGGGCCATGCGAACATCTGCTGCATTGTAATTACCAATTAGGTGGCTGCTTGAATTTTAAGTAGGATTACAAGAAGGAGTAAAAACTGATAAGGTTTTGATTTAAAAAAATATTGTGTGACTCTTTAAAAACCTTGAAAATATTCAGTTAAACTATTAAATAATACAAATTTTGTATTGATATTATTTTACCTTTGAACTCATTTAACTTTCCACCTGCTTATTTGCACACATAATTAATTTTTTAATAAACTCACTTTTTGGTAAGAAAATCTAATTAACTGGCATAAGGTCCCGTGTAAATAAAAATCAGCACGTGATTTAATTAAAAGGTTAATCGAGTTTTTCCCCTTGCACACAATTTAAGTCCGCATTGTTTGTGAAAATCGAAAAATTTCGATCTTTTCAGATATTTACGTAAACACTTTCACCATTTTTGTTGCTTGATTTTGCAATTAATCAAAAATAGTTGAAATACTTGCCATTCAGTACGTAATTGAGAAATAAATTGGGAAATAAATAAATAGGAAGCACGAACAGTTTTCCCACTTTTGCGCCCTGCCAAGTTTTCTCATATTTGGCCTAATCGAGGGGTTGATGTATTCGTTTTAGTCTTAAAGAGCCAACTAATTGCATTTGCACTTCTTTTTGGCTCAGTTGAGATGTTCGGAATTCCTCGAAATGAAAATAGATTGGAAAAACAACAAATGCGAACCGGTGCTAAAATAACCAAGCAACAACGTAATAAACAAGAATGTCAAAAATAAAAAAGACCCATAGACAAAATGTAAAAATATCTATTTAAGCCATCACCAAAATACCTTTACTATTTTCCCTCGCAGCTCAAGAGTATGCTACATTTTCTTTTTCATTCTCAACTAATATTTTTCCTTGACTCTTTGACTTTTATTTAGTATATTTAATGTCTTATTTGTTTTTATTTTGTTTTTTTTTTTCACAGATGCTGGGAACAGCTTTGCTGGGCAAACGGGCCACCAAGGTAAACACAATATTATTTCTGATATGTTATTTATTTGATTTTCACTTTCGTTTCGTTTTTTGGCTTTTCATTTCACAGTCTGTCAAAAAGAAACCGTTTACGGAGGTAGAAATCAAAGGTAAGCAACCAAATCAAACCACAAATCAGCAGACAAATTGTTTATTTACAAACAAGACGCACAGTGACCTCTATTCTTCTGGGAAATACTCAGCGAAAAATGGGTTAATATACGAAGCACGTTGGTGTTGTGCTATCTAGTATTTGATTATTCATAATTACAGCCAATTTATGTGCGGAGATAAATAGCGAGCTCTGCCGTTTCTTGGCCAGGCCCACACGGCGTATACACAATCTTATTAGGCACTATCAGGGTGTAGAACAAGTTCTTGCTGTGCACAGGAAGAAATGTTTATGATTTCAGTTCAAGCCTAGAAATTAGTGTTCTATTTCTGTGCACGTAAATTTAGCCAGACGCAATGGCCGACCGCCTTTTGCATGTCAGCCAATTTATGTTTGCAGCCACTAATTTTAGCTTCTTCATAGGACAGGTGCAGCGGCACTTAAAGATGGATGGATCCCAACTTTTTAACGAGTTTAATGCTATTTTTATATCTTGAAATTTGTTCGAGCAGCACTCGGGCTTTAATCTAATCAAGATAGCCATAATCGAGTTGAAATTTAATTAACGCGCCTTCTTCCTTTTCCATTCGATAATAGAAAATGTATAAGCCGAATAGAGGGGGTATAGAGGGCAGCAGATAGCTGACACCCTCGCATCACGTGCCCAATTAACGGGCATATAAAGGCTTCAATAAAAAAAGAATACAACAAAATAAAACTGGAGCAGAAACCAAGAAAACATACCTGCCATACAGCTTTTTTCGGAATTTAATTTGCCCTCTGGGATTTACCACTGAAGTGTTTACAATCGGAAGACGAATCAGATAAGATGCTGATCCCACACCGCCGACCATGTGACACATTTCCCAGGCTGACAAGCCAAACAAGTCATATTTAAATCGGGGCAGGCACTTTCATTTGACATTGCCTTCAGCTGTTGATCTCCAGCAAATATTGGGCCTTAAAGTGGAAAAAAGTTACGGAGAAAACAATCGTATATCGCATGAGTCATTTACGGGCAGGGGATGGGTCTTATTGTTGCCAAATTGTGGGTAATTTCAAGTCATAAGATTTGATAGAGATATAAATCAAACTAAAAAACTGTTGATTAATATTTAGAGCATTCAATGCCACACCTCCTCTAACAATAAACACCTATAAAATGACAATTTTTTAAGTTATAGAACTACTAGTATTACCCCAATATCTCATAACAATATCAAGACGACCCATACACAGGTGCTTTTTGGGCTAAGGCCCCACTCAGGGTGTCTGATTGTCTTACTCCGGTAATCAGACAACTGGAATCAAGATAAGGCCAATGAGAAGAGCAATACGAGTGAGAGTAAATACCATTACGACATATAGACTAGCACTTAATGAAATCGGACAAACCATCCCAGATATAACCGTGTATATATATATATATATAGTAAACACCCACATAAACAGATTTTGGGCACTGCCATCCGGCTGATAAGTCAGTTAGTTATCTGGGGGGAGCGGCGGGTGCTATCACCCAAATGAAATATAATAAAATATAGCAAAAGTCGGCTGGGTTCTGGTTAGTTCGTTTCACTTCAGTCCATTATCTTGGGAGTTGAGTTCTCGTAGATAAATCGCTCGGTAACGCTGGCATTCCTGCAGCATTATTATTTCGCGCCCTCGCAGAGTATCGCCAGCTTATGTAGCGGTCGGAAGTGCCCCTCGAGTGTCTCTCCCCAGCCGAGATTGATTGATTGATTGATTAACTGATTGATTGCCCGCTAGATAGTGCCGAGTTTTTATACCCTTTTCAAAACGTTCGAAAACGAACCCTCATATACCTGGCAAATTAGCGTCTTTTGCGCTTCGGAAATATGAGCAAAGATGATAAGTGTGAGTATAAGTTAATGCATGGCCAACTTGGCCAGCGTACGGCCCACAGCGAACTTTAGTCAATCGCTATCGTTATCGGTGGTAGTACGAGCACTCGCAGCAAGTCGAAATATTACTAATTTGCAAACAGCAATCAACTTTCGGAGATAGATCGGCAGTGTCAATTTGTCGCCACACTTGTAAAACTAATTAAACGATTGTCAACGAGACACGTATGGCCCTAAACACTGACAAAAATGTGAAAAACTAAAATTCCTTAAAAAGTATATCTTTGATATGAAGAATCTTAATTTAAAAAGTTCATGTTATATACGTTTATATAGTTAAAAGTGCTTACTAAGATTAAAATAACTCTGAAAACAAGAGTTAACTATTTATTTCTCATTACTGAATTACAAGTCAAAAGGGCCTTCCTTAGGTAATTTATTACCAGTGTATCTCCCTTTCCCTTTACATATCTCTTTCTGTTATCGCCTGGAAAAATTATCTCACTGTGTGGTTGTGTATTTGGCAAGTGGGCGGTCGGCAGTTAATTTGTTGCCACTTTGCCGCTGATGAAACCTGACAGTCAAAGGCAGCCGTAATATTTTCTGCGAGTTTTTATTTATTTGTATTTCTTTTTTTTTTTCTTTTCTCTGGGACACGCCTGCATTTTGATTTATGGTTACGCAACGTTGGCAGTTTTTTGAGCTTCGTACACAGAATTCTCGGCTTGCTACTCGACTTGAGTTATGAGTGGCAAGACAATTAGCCAAAACGAAAACAAACGACACACAGAAGTGAAAAATGAGAGAGTTTGTTGACTGGAAAATTTGTATACACTTTCAATTTGATTTATTTAAGTCCCTAAATTTGGAAATATGTTTGAGAATCCATCATTCCTTGGCTCATTAAATAAATTAATTTGTGAAATGAACTCAAATCAATGACTGCCTTAAAGTGTTTAGCCATAAATTTAAATCGTTTCAGCTTCTAAGCTCTCCAGTGTGCATTGCCAAGTAATTTTCACATTTATGTACTGTAAAATTTGAAATGAGTGCTAAAAAATGGAAATTGATGAATACAAAGCGCTAATTCGGTCACGTAAATGGATTCAATAACAAAGCGAGATGAAAAATTGTTTTTCGTAGCCTGTTACTGTGCGTGTCCTTGACCCTCAACCTACGAACCCCCTTTCTTAACCCCCCCTGCGAAACTCTTTTAGGGGGCACGTTCTGCGTATGAAAGATTTTGACGATGCCAGCGGCCCTCGGATTGATTTTTGCATATTAATGCAGGACATTGAATCGGAACTGCACTTTCTGCTGGGTGGAAAACTCTATATGGAACAGATGACTGGCCTTGAGTTTTTTGACGGCCCATAAAAAAGAGAAGCCGCAGATAAAAAGCATTGAGTGCCAACGCGTCCATAATGGCAATCGCCCTCGTAAAAGGCCACATTTATGATGCATTTTCGCGCAGTTAAACTGCAAAAATTGATATTCTTAAGAAGTATTAAAAATGATTTATCAGTTATAAATAAATTTTTAAAGTAACCGCGTTGTGTGTAATAGATTTATCTGCCTTATTTTGTGAATGTAATTAAGTAGAGAATCAGGGTCCTTAGCCGACTTCTTAACTAACTCCAGTGTGCGTGGGTGGCGCCCTCTGGCGGTGGCACGTGACTTCGTTTGCGTACCTTCCACGTTTTTTCGTAGGCGTTCGTGATGTTTTTGGACCCGCCTAGTTAGTTACTCCGGGCCTAATACAATTTACGCCTTCTGAAAAAGTTTTTTTTTGCGACGCAGTTTCTTTTGGTTTATATCGATTCACTCTGCAATATGAAAAGGCCATCGTCCTGCAGTAATAAAGCTGCACATATTCTGAACTCTATCCATCCATCTGTCCCAGAGTTAACTGATTGGTGTTGGTTTAAGCTTGCATTTCACTCTGTTGGCTGCCCAAAGTTTTCCCAATTAATTTTCATTAAAAAGTTGTTTGCATTGCCGGGAGTTGAACGAACTGGGGAATCGAGAGCAAAAGTGTTTTGGGGCACAACAAAGAGAGAAAGGAGTCAAATTTTAAAAGTGGACAGGACTTTGTTAAGGGATTGCTGCTCATTTGTCGGAAGGGAAAACCGAAACCGAAATTTGTTTTAAAGTTCCTTCAACTGGTCATTGTTTGACGAGGAAGAGATTTCTCAGGGTTAAAGTTTAGTTACCGCGTTTCCTTCTAAAAGATATTTTTGAATTTTAAAGGATTTTAAGGGCACCGAAAAGCATGCTTTAAAAACCTAGGATAATCTTAGAACAAGCAGTTCAACCTTAAACCGAAATTTCTCCATTTTTATCAGAAAAATCCAAATAAATCGTATTTATCAGGTTCATACGACACGTAAGTTGACAATGCGATTTAATTGAGAATTACATAAAAATGCAGCGATACCGTTGCATAAAGCCTTACGTATAACGGTATTGCCCTCTCTCTCTTTCTCTGACCCTACCTCACTCTCTTCCACTCATTGGCAGATTCACACAAATGCCGTTGCCTGCGATAACAACAACAAATCCGTTTTCCATCATTTTGTTTTGTTCCTCACATTCGCTGAGCCAAACAAACGGGCTTCGTTGGCGGCAGTACGAGTGAGATGGCGCGGCAAAGAGAGACTCAGTCGGTTTTCCTTACGATTCCAGCCGATAGGCAGTGAGAGAGAATCAGAGCACTTCGTAAATTGCCCCTCCAAGAACACCACTACATTGGCACAGGAACGCATCTGTGTATTGTTGTTGCATGCTGCACAGAATGCGTTTTGTTGTTGCCCCTCTTATTATATTTGTTTTTGTTGTTCTTGTTGTGATTGGGGCAAGGTTACTGGAAGCATTCTTAAAAGATTCCATATAGAAGGGGCTTTCCCAAGCAGAGGGCGTATGAGTAATATTTTTGTAAAGGGGCTTAATAGAAGAAAAGGGGTTACGTTGAATATTCAAAATATATAATATATGTGAAATTTTATGTAAAATATATCTCATATGCATATTCATATTATTTTCTTTGATAACACCGAAGCATTTAAGTAATATAATATTCTGAAACGCATAAGAAATAATGTAAATTGATCAAACATACAATCGTTACCACCAA